TCCTGATAAGCAGTCCCTGGAGGGAAAGGAACCCCAGAATCCATAGAGGAATTATGGAAATATAAGAACATATACAGTAGAGAGGAAGGAAGGGGAGAAAAGCAAGATGTGAGGGGAGTAGGAACTGATAGGGATGATAATAATTCATAAGTATGTTTCTATGAAGAAGACTGAAATCAACAATCTGAGTCATGATAGGGTAAGTTATGACAAATATACAATATTGAATCTTGACTAATCTTGTTACTAAAAATTCACTAGCAAAGATGATACAATACTATTGTATTTATTGCTTTCATTTAATCAATGCTAGTAAAGCACAAAACATCATTTTAGCTATATTGAACATGTGTGTGTGTTTGTGTGTTAAGATATAAATCTTGTACTCTGTTATATAGAAGTTTGATAGAAAGAAGAACTTTCTCTGGCATTTCTATTTAGAAATTCTGGAGCAAAAGCATTGCAGAGTTCATTTCTGAAATGAAGCACGCGGTATCTCTTCCTTCTGAGCACATTCTGGAAGAAGGTTTTGCTTTTGTTTGCTTGTTTTTGCCATTTACAAAATCAATAAAAAAAAGCAAGGGTTGCTTAGAACATCATTAAAAAACAAAAGGACGTTATAAAAGAAATCACTATTACAGCAATACCTCTTGAATGCTCTCAGGAAGTCCTCAGCAATTTCAGACAGTAATTATAAGAGTATTAAGCATGCACAATACCAATTTAAGTGCAAAACAAGGGTTTGCAAGATTATAAGTGATTTTTCATTTCACATAATTTTTTCCTCTACTTTGTAACATATCAGTTCTTCAATTTTCTAGAGAATTGAATTTTTTCTAGAGTATATAGCATCTCCTGAGACATTCTGCATACATGAACCATATATAACTAATTGTTTGCTAAATTAAGTCTACCCAGCCATGGTGGCTAAATTGAACAACCCACTACACTAGAATATAGGTGATCTTTGAATTGTTTGCAATTCTACTACTTTCCTGTAATATGAATAATAGAAAATGGAACTTACTTCTGTGGGAGAAAACACTATGCCACATTCTAAAGATGACATTTCCTCTACTTCAAAAGTATATATACAAGAAGTATCCGGGTATATAATTTCTCCTATAAAACAGGAAACCTACATTTAAAATGTATACCAGCATTTTTAATGTGCAACTATGAACATTGGGAAATCTCATTAACTTATTTATAGTAATCAAGAGCAATTATTAGTCAGATGCCAGAGGATCATGCCTATAATTCTAGCTACTTGGAAGGCTGAGATTGTTGGGATCACAGTTGGAGAAAAAAGCCCACCTGACTCCATTTCAATGACATCTGGATACAGTGGTGCATCCTTGATAGTTAGTAGCTATCCTAGCTAACAGGAGCCTAACAAAGGTGGACTGGGCCTGGGTAGGAATTGAGAGCTCATCTAAAAAATAATGAGCAAAGCACAGAACTACAAGGTGCTCAGTGGTAAGAGTGCCCACTTAGAGAAGCCATATATATATATATATATATATATATATATATATATATATGGATGGATTTGAATTGTGATTCTCAGATCACAATTCTTGAGTAGCCAAGATAATAGGCATGAGCCAGTGGCCCCCAGCAACAAAGTCCTATTTTAATCCCCAAAATTGCTAGGGGGAGTAAAGCAACTATTGAAATAACTGATGAAGTTTCCATAATGTTGCAAGTAAACAAGAATTTTTTTTCTTTTTCTTTTTTGTAGGTCATGGGGCTTGAATGCTGTCCCTCAGCTTTTCAGCTCAAGGTGAGCGCTGTACCACTTGAGCTACAGTGCCACTTCCGGTTTTCTGGTGGTTTATTGGAGACAAGAGTCTCACAGTCTTTCCTGCCCTGGCTGGCTTTGAACCATGATCCTCAGATCTCAGCCTCCTGAATAGCTAGGATCACAGGTGTGAGCCACCAGCGCCCGGCTTTTCTTTTCTTTCCTTTTTTTGTGATCACTTTGGGCTTGAACACAGGGCCTTGGCAGTGTCTCAGACCTTGTACTTAAGGCTTTCTACCACTTGAGCCACAGCTCCACATCTGGCTTTTTTGTGGTTAATTGGAGGAACTTTCCTGCCAGAGTTGGCTTCAAATCCCATTCCCCAGATCTCAGCCTCCTTAGTAGTTTGGATTACAGGCAGGAACAAGCACGCATTCTTAATGCAAAGATTCTAATCAGCAAAACTAATATAGAAATATACAACATACATTTATTCAGCCCATCAAAGAAAATACATTCATTTTTAAAAACCATTCAAAATTCAATTCTCATTCACATGAATGTGGAAAGGAATAAAAGGAAAAGATCAAGTAGCTCAGTGAATCATAGATCCAAGAACAACTGAAAAGAATCCCCATGATGCCTAGCTACTCAAGAGGCTGAGATCTGAGAAGCATGGGCCAAAGCCAGCACATGCAAGAAAGTTTATGAGACTCTTATCTCCAATTAACTGGTAGAAAGCTTGAAGTTGAGCTATGGCTCAAATACTAGAGTGCCAGTCTTCAGCAAAAAAGCTAAGTCACTGAGTTCCAGTTCCAGTAGCCCGACAAATGAAAATTTATAAATATGACAAACATATACCAACAATTTTACTTACCCATCATTTTTTGTTGTGTGACATTTAAAAATTATACTTAGAAATTTTGTTATATTGAATACATTATTCTTAACTATGAATAACCTACTTTGCAATGGACCTCAGGAACACATTATTTAATGATAAAATGAATAAAAATATAAAAACTTTTACATGCAAAATTCTTGCCAAAATGAAAGCACTGCAAGACAAAGACATTAGTTAAAAATACAGACAACTTTTCAGAAGTAATACAACCTTGAGGGTTAATTGGGGGGGGTGGCAAATGAATGAAGAGAGGAAGCGGAAAATACCATCATAAAATTCAATGCATATGGGGCTGGGAAGGTGGCTCAGTGGTAGAGCACTTGCCTTGCATGCATGAGGCCCTGGGTTCGATTCCTCAGCACCATGTAAGCAAAAAAGAAAAAAGCTGGAAGTGGCGCTGTGGCTCAAGTGGTAGAACGCTAGCCTTGAGCTGAAGAGCTGAGGGACAGTGCCCAGGTCCAGAGTTCAGGCCCCAAAACCGGACCCTCCCAAAAAAATTCAATGCATAGTCATCAAAATTAAGAAAATTGCAGGAAAAGGTAGAGTTGGGAGGGATGGGAAGAATGATGTCAGTGGTGACATTAAGATTCATTGTATTCATATACTAATCATTGAATGAAAACTCCTTTGAACAACTATTAAAGATAAAAATAAAATTCAAAAAAGTTATGATCACTGTAATTCCTAAATGATTAGAAAGTTGCACTGGAAACTGTTTTTATGTAAACAATTCTAAAAATCAAATATTTCCCTAAAGTTATCTGATCAATATGAAAGAATGCTAAATTCTAGTTATTAATGCCTGTTAAAAAAACTTCATTCACAGGTGAGGAATAATATTACATGATAACAACCAGATTCTTGATGGATCTCATCTACCATTATAAGTGGACTCCATTTGTCACATAGATCCAACATTCACCTCTGGGATCCTCTCTGTTCTGACTTCTCTATAGGGCAAATCAACCAGGCTGCTTTTCTCTCCTGCCTCTGTGGTTGGGTTACATTATGTGAAACATCAGCAAAACATCACAAATTAGTAGATGAGAGAAAGGTCAGATATTTATATGGTCATTCCTACCCTTGGTTGTAGTTCTAACAATGGCTGTATTTCTTAATAGTTGTAGTACTTACCAATTGCCTCCTCTTCCATAGTTGTACCTCCCAACAGGCTCCAATAACTCTTTCCTCTTGATCTTTTGAATATTTTCTAGATTCTTTTAATTCTGTCCTAATCTCCATAATTTATTTCTTTTCTTTCTCATTCCTTCTTCCTTCTTTTTTTCCTTCTTTCCTTCCTTCCTTCCTTTCTTGTCAGTACCAGGGATTGTATTCAGGGCCTTCCACATGCTGCACAAGTATGCTACCATTTGAACTACGCTATTTTTATTTTATTTGTTGTTTTTATTTGGTTTTTGAAATTAGGTCTCACTAACTTTGCCCAGGCAAGCCTCAAACTTGAGAATCTCCTGACTGTCTCCTAAGTAGTTGGGAGAACAGTGTATACCACCACACCTGGCTTAGATGATTCCTTCACTAAACAACTCAGTTAATCCTTTTGAGTGAGATACTGATTGGTGAACTGTCTATTCACTTTTTAAGGAAATATATGGTCTTTTATGTTCATAGAGGAAAAATCTAGCCCATAAATATTTAGAATATAATTAGAGCTCAAAATATTAACTGAAGAATTGACTAAGCCAATGATCAGAAAACTTTCTACAATGGTCCAAGTGGTAGACATTGTGGACTTTGTGAAACATGTTTTCTACCACAACTGTTCAATTTTGTTATTATAGCACAAAAGTGGCCATAAGCAATATACAAAGGCATCTACATTTTAATTGAACTTGGTTTATAAAAGAAAGTTTCCATTCAAATTAGACCATGGACCTTAGTTTGTCAACTACAGATAAAATGTACTCATGCATGTGCATGTTTTGCTTAATTCTAATATAACAAAGATTCCTAATACATTAATAAGCATGTAGAAGAAGCTTTTAAAGTCATTGACTAATAACTTTATTTCCATTCTTAGCAGATATTGTATGTAACATATGCAACTTAGTACATGGACTCAACTATTAAGTACAATTATATGTCATACATTACCAAAGTACTCTGACATTGCTATTCATTTAATTCCAGACATAAAACTATGAGTTATAAGGTATAAGAAAAAACATGCTTTGAATCTTTGAAGTATTTAATAATAGCACTGCCCTCAAGATTATAACTTAAAACAACTTAAAATTGCTTTGCTTTACAGTAATGCCATTATATTGTAATTTGTAATGTTATTATATATAATTTGTAATATATATTGCATACATATATATGTAAAATACATACCTATGTTGTCCGTAGCAATAATTGAAAAACATTGAAATTCTTGTAGATTAAACTCCACTTTAGCAAGTGTTATACCAATGTTTTTTATTACAAATGGAATAATCTGCGTGGTTCCAATATATGCGCCACAGAATTTAAATTCATTCTAAATTTAAAAAATTTGAAAGTACAATAATTATAGTGTGAATACTTAAAATTATATTTTAGCTCAGTTGTATGTGTGAATGTGTGTGTGTATGTGTGTGTGTGTGTGTGTGTGTGTGTGTGTGTGTGTACCAGTCATGGGGCCTGAACTCAGGTCCTAGGAGATCACTCAAGGCTATCACTCTACCACTTGAGCTGAGCTGAACTCCCCTTGTGGCCTTTTGGTGCTAAATTGGACATAAGATTCTGATGGACTTTCCTGCCTGGGCTGGCTTCAAATCACAATCCTCATATCTCATCTTCCTGGGTATCTAGGATTATAGGTGTAAGCCACCAGCGTCTGACTCTTCTTTACCTCATTCAATTATTCTAACTGTAGGCAATTAGAATCTAGTCCCTTTTTATTTAGTTTCTTGAGTTGCATGTTCTCCACTTTGAGAAAAAGTGGAATCAAATTCATAACTAAATCACCGTTAAACTCATAGGGAATCTGACCACACCAATTCCACCTTTAAAATTTGATTACACACCAGTGTCTAAAGGACAATATCCATGCTCGTTACTAAAGCACATAAAAAAAATCTCCATTGCCTTCTTTATATATTCATCATATTGTATACTTAACTTGCTCCACTCTTACCTTAGAACTTATTATTTCAACAAACACCATGAATTGCTATTTCCAACCAATACCTTATGTTTCACATTTCTTCATCTTAATGATAGAAGTATTTCTTCTGTCAAGAAGACACCTCCCCTGGGCTGGGAAAGTGGTAGAGTGCTTGCCTTGCATGCATGAGGTCCTGGGTTCGATTCCTCAGCACCACATATGCAAAAAGAAAAAAAAAGCTGGAAGTGGTGCTGTGGCTGAAGTGGTAGAGCACTAGCCTTGAGCTGAAGAGCTGAGGGACAGTGCCCAGGCCCAGAGTTCAGGCCCCATGACCGGACCCCCCCCAAAAAAAGACACCTCCCTAATTAGTAATTGTCTGATAAACATTACTCATCCACCAAACAAAATTAGATAATGCATGATTAATCACTCAGGACAATATCACTTATATTTATATTGAAACATCACATAATCTCTGTTTGTTTACAAACTGATTCCTCCAATGAAGATTTTAATGCATTTTTGTGTTTTGTAGCTTGTCAACTGTCTGATACCTACTTAAGTATATAAAGAATGTTTACAAAAAATATCTTAAGTCTAGCTCATATACCAAACATGAGTCTATACCACAAAATTCTGTAAGGAGATGGAGAGTTACTAAAGATAGCCTACATTTCCTTAGCTAAAGAATTATATGGAATATTAAAATGAGATTGAGGCAACAATAGTCTTATCAAGGAAAACAGTATTTTAAGTACAAATGCCTTTTGTTTTATTTAAAGTATAACCTATTTGTTTATGAAAGTCATGAAAATCCAAAACGGGTCATGAAAATTTGATATTTTATATATGTTAAAAAGATCATCATTCTTATTCCTTTCTCAGTTTTCATGCTCATTTGAATATGTTCCTAATGCTTTTAAGATACAATGCCAATGCCACAAATCTTACTATAGTTATTAACAGACTATTGAAAAACATGTTGGTGTAAGATTATTATTTATAAATGATGAAAACGAACTGGTCAACTTGAGTAGGAGGATCAGAAGGGAAAAAAACTGGTAGAAAATAAGGGAAGAAATGACACTGTTCAAAAGGTAGGAGGGAAGGGAATGGTAGGGGAAAAACGATGGAGGAGATGACAATGCTTGATAAGAAACTTACTCATTACCTTGCTCAAGTAACTGTAACCCCTCTGTACAGTATTTTCACAATAAAAACTTATTAAAATTTACTCAGGGCTGGGAAGGTGGCTCAGTGGTAGAGTGCTTGCCTCGCATGCATGAGGCCCTGGGTTCGAGTCCTCAGCACCACATAAGCAAAAAAGCCTAAGTGGTGCTCTGGCTCAAGTGGTAGAGTGTTAGCCTTGAGCTGAAGAACTGAGGGACAGAGCCCAGGCCCAGAGTTCAGGCTCCACAACCGACAAAAAAAAAAGAAATGTACTCATATCTGACTTATGTAATTGTAACTTCCTGTACATCACCTTTACAATAAAAATAAGAGCCGGGCACTGGTGGTTAAAGCCTGTGTTCCTAACAACTCAGGAGGCTGAGATCTGAGGATCACGGTTCGAAGCCAGCCAGGGCAGAAAAGTTCATGAGACTCTTATCTCCAATAAACTACTCAGAAAAAGCTGAAAGTGATGTTATGATTCAAGTGGTAGAGTCCTAGCCTTGAGCACAAAAAGGGGACAGCACCCAGGCCCTTCAAAAAAATTTTAATGATGTATCTAATACTCATAACACAATGTCATAATGGAAGAAAGTCACTTTGGGTAGATGATAATAGAATTCTTGAAGGTTTGGCCAGAAAAATCATTAGGTATTTTTGTATTTGTGTATGTACACAGACTATTAACTGTGGAACAAATTTGATTTATTAACAGAAAATTATTTAAAATAAATTTGATTTAAGAAAATTAACATTAAAACCACAATGAATTATCATTTTATATTGCATAAATTAGCAATTATTTACATCTGATAATATAACTTATGGAGCAATGGAATGTGGAGCAATGGAAACTTGAAAAAAGTAAGAACTTTTCTTGTAAAACCAAGCATATACATACTCTATGTCTAAGGAATGCCATTCTTTGAGAGGCCATTTTATATGTCACTCAGAAGATATGTAAATGAATGGTTATGGTTATAATTCTCTATTGATAAAAACTAGAAATACCTAATTGTAAGTACAAAATAATGAACATACAAATTATAGTATGTCTGTTCAAAGAACTATTATGATTAATGACAATGAACAATATATAGTTTATACATCATTTAGACTGTTAGAAACTCAATATTCAATTAACTATAAGAAGTATGAATTACAAACAGTACATCAATGTTGCAAAACTAAACTATGGAATGATTAAAGCATTAATATGTGTTGTTTCATGATAAACATGTGATTATCTCATATAACAGGACTATAATCAATCTATGGGTGATTTTAATGTCATTGATAGTGTTCTGATACTTGAGGTTAGTGGCAAATTCTTAAAAAATGAATTACAACTTGGGGGGAGGGGGGAAGAGTTGGGGTGTTGGGGAGGGAAGGGATGGTAGGGGAAAAACAAAGGAGGAGGTAACTGCTCAATAGGAAATGTATTCATTACCTTACTCATGTAACTGTAACCCCTCTGTACAGTATTTTTACAATAAAAAAGAATTCAATATTCTGTTTTATCACTTAAATGAATATTGTATATATTATTTTATGTTAAATTACATTAATATATTTTCAAATATAAATTAGCTAAGAGCATATTGAGAAAAAATCACTAAACTCATATTGAGCACAAAGGTATATAGCATACTTACTGGTTCAATTTCAATATCAGCAATCTGAATAGATCCACCAATCCTAAGGTCTATAGTATTTGCATGATGAATGGTAACCTTATTTAGGAGAAATAGAAAGCTTTGTAAAGTTGGGTAAAAATATCATCATTTATAGCTCAAAAGTTAACTTGGATTTACATAAGACTTTATAATTTAAATGAAAGCCACATAATTTAAATGTATAAAAATTAATCTGGCCAGTCACTGGTAGCTTATGCCTGTAATCCTAGCTACTCAGAGGGCTGAGATATGTGGATCATGGTTTGAAGACAGCCCAGGTAAGAAAGTCTGTGAGATTCTTTATCACCAGTTATCCACCAGAAAACTGAGAGTAGAGCTGTAGCTCAAAGTGGTAGAGTACTAGCCTTGATCAAAAAGCTCAGGAATAGTGCCAGGCCTTGAGTTCAAGTGCTATATCTGACAAAAAAAATTATCTGGCATTTGCCATCATATTTCTTGTTTTTTCGAATTGATCATCTGGAAGAAAAAATGTTCAAATGTTACAAACTAGATGGCTTCTGGTTTTGTTTGCAGAATAATTGGAATTCTCTATAACATGTTTTTATTCATAGTTACTATACATTTATAGTTCATATAAACTATATATTTATACTTATGTAGTTATTATACATTATTCAAAATTGAGAAACAGGAGAGTGAGTTAAAAAACGTTCTTCCCTTACAAACATGCACAAATTGAGGGTATAGATGTGGCTGGGAAAGATAAAGAAGAAAGATGAAATGACATTTTGACTTGAAATCTCTTTGTACAACTACTTAAATATGAAAAATAAAAATAAATAAAATGAAATAGAGAAATATGATAAGTCACAATGATCACAACAATAATAAAAGCCATTACAAAATTCTATATGTATCTGGTATAGAACTATATTATGTCCTATTTATATCCTTTTAAAATGTCTGGCCTCTTCAGCAAATGGTGCTGGTAAAATTGGTTAAACACCTGTAGAAAACTTAAGTTAGATCCATATATATCACCCTGCACCAGAATCAACTCCAAATGGATCAAAGACCTCGAAGGCAAAGCAGACACCCTGAAAACATTGCAGGAATGAATAGGAGAAACTCTAGGACTCCTTGGACAGCACGAAATTTTCATAATAAAGACTCAGAAGCACAACAACTTAAAGAAAGGTTGGACGAATAAAATTGCATGAAACTGCAGAGCTTCTGCCTGGCAAAGGACATAGCTAGCAAGATCAATAGAAAGCCCATAGATTGGGAGAAGATCTTCACTGCCATACAACAGACAAGGGCCTCATATCTAAAATATACTTAGAACTCAAAAAATTAAATCCCCACAAAACAAATCCTCAAAGACACAACTGCCCAAAAAATAGGTGGGCTCAACACTTAAAGAGAGACTTCTCTGAACAGGAAATGAGAATGACACATGAAGACACATGAAGAAATACTCAACTTCTCTGGACATAAAAGAAATGCAAATCAAAACAACATAGAGATTCCACCTCACTCCAGTTAGAATGGCTATAATCAAGAACTCTAATAACAACAGATGCTGGAGGGGATGTGGCCAAAAGGGAACCCTACTAGCACTGTTTGTGGGAGTGTAAACTTTTCAATTACTCTGAAAAGCAGTATGGAGATTCCTCAAAAGACCACACATAGGGGAGCTCAAGCTTCCCCTATGACCCAGCAATCCCACTTCTGGACATTTACCCAAATGATCACAAACAAGACCACACTAAAGCTACCAGCACAACTATCTATGCATATTGCAGCATTGTTTACCATAGCAAGATATGGAACCAACCAAGATGCCCCTCGGTAGATGAATGGATTAAGAAAATGTGATATATATTTGTTTTCTATGCTTGCATCAGAAAGAATGTTACCGCCCCATTTGTTAGGAAATGGAAAGACTTGGGGAAAAAAATCATTAAGTGAAGCCAGACCCAAATAAATATAGGTTCCATGATTTCCCTTATTTGCAGTAATTAGTATATGTCTAGGATAATCTTATCAGATGAGCAGAAAAGCTCAAACACTATGCACATATGACCATATAAGATGATGCTAAATGAAATGAACCCCAAGATATGGACACAAGAGGTTCTTCTTTGTTGTTGTCTTTAATGTATTATGTGATTTGTTTCTTTTGAATGTTCTTCCCCCTATGGGATATGCCCTGTTGTCACTGTATTTGATTTTAGTACCCTGCATCTTGTATATACATTTATCTAATTTGGGGAGGGGAAGGGAAATAACAAAATGTTGAAACAAGGACACAGGATGATTTATTGAAACAATAATACTCACATGACACTATGTTGGAAATGAATTTCCAACTTCGGGGAGGGGAAGAAGTAGGAGAGGACGTGGGAGGGGAAGGTAAGGGACAGTAGGAGAAAAACAAAGGAGGAGGTAACAATGTTCCCCAAGAAATGTACTCATTACCTTTCTCTTGTAACTGTACTCCCTCTGTACAGCATCTTTACAATAAAATTAAAAAAATAAAATAGTACTCTGATATATTTACTGTTAATCTCTAAAATTTCAAAGTGTAGAAAACTGATGCATTAAAGAGGACTTTTTTTTCTTTTTCTTGAGGCCATAAAACGTGAATACATGGCAGCAGCTAAACTTGAACCAACAACTTGCCTGAACATTGAATTGCTCCCCACAAAAAAAATAATGAACTGAGGATTTAGTTTTCAAGAAATAGGAGTTATAGATTATCTTAGCATACACTTGTCTAAATAAAATCTCAAAGGTAGAAATAATACTTCTTGAAAGCATAAAGCAGTAAATCAATTATGTATGCTATAGATGTTGTAGATCAACTGCCCAAGAAGTATAAAGCTCTGAGTGCAAACTCCAGTATTGCAAAAAAAATTAACAATTTAAAATATTTTCTGTGATTGGGAAGGTAGCTCAGTGGTAGAGTGCTTGTCTTGAATGCATGAGTCCCTGGGTTCAATTCCTCAGCACCATATAAGCAAAAAGAAAAAAAGCTGGAAGTGGTGCTGTGGCTCAAGTGGTAGAGGGCTAGCTTTGAGCTGAAGAGCTGAGGGACAGTGCCCAAGCCCAGAGCTCAGGCCCCCACGACTGGACCCAAAATAATATATATTTTGTGGAAATCATCTCTAAATTCTGACACCCAATTTTACTAGCACCTAATTTTATGTTAGATTATTTACATCAGTTTACCTATTTTTTCCAGACTTGGGACTTGAACTCAGGCACTGTCCATGAGCATCTTTTGTTCAAGACTAGCACTCTATTACTTGAGCCATATCACCACTTCTAGCTTTTTCTGAGTGGTTTATTGGAGATAAGAGTCTCATGGACTTTCCTGTTCCGTCTGGCTTTGAACTAGCTTTGAGCCTCCTGAGTAGCTAGGGTTGTAAGTGAGAGCCACTAGCACGAAGCTTAGTTTGCTTTTTTAAAAAATAGATCTTCAGACCTAGTTTAATTTCTAGACAATTGGTAGAAATTTTAATTGCCCTTTAACATCATAACCTTAAAATCAACTCTCAATAAGAGAAATAATTAAATTTTCTAAGAATAAATATGACCATTTTATAGTAGCATATGGATGATTATTAATATTTTTTTAAAAAAACAAGTCTTATGTATGCGTATATGCATATATACATTTTCACACATATATACAATACATATGTATATACATACCCTTGCTCTTGTGTCGAATTTTTCTGCCGATGTTGGCGTGCAGGAGATATTAAGAACTGCTAATCCACCAAATGGAATTATACCTTCAGGTGGAGTAATGTTAATAGTAGGCAAAAGGCTATCTTTAGAAACCTGGAATTGAAAAAATTTTAAAGTGAAACATGACCACTTAAAATTACTGTTTCAAAGGATATTTAGGAAAGCATCCCACTTCCTAGACAGATGGCCCTCCTTAGCAAGGGGCTGATTTTGTAATACTATCTGAATAATACACCCCCCCCACACACACACAGACACACACACACACACACACACACACACACTTGAATTGAAACAGGGAATTGCAGCTGTCATTCAGCAAAAAGAACCTCTACAGCATTATTCATTACCTGGAGTGCTTTCTGAAAAAAGACTTAGATGTTGCTGTTAGAGAAGGGACTGATATTCTAGACACTATTTTACTTGCTTCTAAAAACTGAAAGCGATGTCAGTCGGGAGGTGGTTTAATGTGTAAACTATCACACTGATCTTCAAAACATTACCAAAGTCTTTATGTTATGGTTTATCTGAGGCCAGAGTAAAAACGGACTTCTTATTTTCTTCATTTTACCCAGATAGATGATTTGGACGGAAAATGTTAATGTAAAAGTGAAAGTGATAGTCACAACTGGTAATGTCTAATAGCACTAATGAAGGATTTAGCATATTTTTTAGTAAAAACCTATGCCACTGCTTTGCTCATCCCTCAAATAAATAAAGAATGGCAACTATAAATAGATTATCTTCAGACTAATCTCCATTGGTTGCTTCCATGATTTTTTTAAATCACAGAATGTAAATAGGGAGAAATGAGAAAGTATATTACCAAATGCAGACTATAACTTTAAGAAATGTATACTTAATACATTATCAACCACCTATTTTTCATAAATCTGGCTTCTACAGACACTGATCCAGAGCCATCATTGTTCATGGGAAGTACAGTCAAAGAGATAGTAAATACGCAAAACATAAAGATGTATGATTCTGATGCATAGGACACATAGGAAGAAGAATCAGGGACCAGGCATGCCCGGACAAAAATACGAGATGCAATTTTAACTAACTAAAGTATAATAGACTCTATAGAGAGTACAAATAGTATAATTCTTTAGAAAGACTAAGTCAAAGCTCAAGAAAATAAGTACCAGGAAATGGGTACTTGCAAGAGATGGGTCAAGAGGAGAATGGTAGAAGGATGAAGGGGGAACTAAGTAGAATGCAGGCAAGAATGAATTGTTTGTAGAACAAAATTGAGACAAATACAGGAAGGAGTGTGTCAATGGGGGTGAAGATGTTGAAGAAATGATGCAGATCTCGATGCACTATATCCATAAACTGCTTTGTTAAATGGCAAAAATCTCAATATATAAGCTAAAAATCAAAGAATGTGAGAGACGGGGTGTGTTGGGAGGGGTCGGTAAGAATGGTGAAAGGCGTGACATTGATCAAGAGGCACTGTTTTCATAAACTTCTTTGTTGAGTGCTAACACTTTTGTACAACTACTAAAAAATAATAAAAAATCTCAAAACATGTTGGTATAATTTGTGGAGGGGAAGGGAAAAAACAAATCGTTTAAATAGGGATACGGGTGGACCCATTGCAACAATGAGATGTACAAGATGTTATGTCTAAAAAGAACTTTACAACTTTGGCGTGGGCGGGGAGATAGGAAGGGATGGGAAGGGGAAACAAAGGAGGAAGCAACAATGCTTGATAAGAAATGTACTTATTACCTTGCCCATGTAATTGTAACCCCTCTGTATGGTATTTTCACAATAAAAATGATATATTAAAAAACTCTCAAAACATAATTAGGGAAAAAACACAAAAGGGCTAAAGTCATGGCTCAAGTTGTAGAGTTTCTGCCTAGCAACTATGAAGCAACCCCAGTGCCACCAAGAAGACAAATAATGATAATAATTTTTCAAACTTTTTTCTTTTAAAAAACCAGATGACAGAAGGTAAAAAAGAAGAGAACAAATGAAAAGAACTAATAACAAAGGTAGTGAGAGAAATAATTTTCAAGGAAAATAAATATACTCAGAAAATCTTCGTATAAAATAACCTAAAATTTACCAGAAGTACATTTAATAAGAGTATTAACTTCACAGTATTTATGTTACCAACATGTGGATCCAAATATGAAAGGCTGAAAATTCTAAATTACCTTGAAATATGCATGGTGTTGTCCTACATTATGAAGAATAGCTTTTCTCCAAGTTGTTAAACCTTGAGGACTATTACTGAATAGCACCCTTGGCTCCCAAAACATGACCTTGGTGTGACCAAGCTAATAATGGGAGGAAGAAATGGAAAATACAACTGAAATAATAGTAAAATATTTTTGTTCACAATAATAAAATGGTTGAAGTGCTAACAGGAATGCATCACAAATATGATTAGTGAAAGATAAAAGATAATCTTCCTATATTATAGATCAAAAATAGTTTAATGTATAAAAATATCTCACAATGGGTTTTGTATTTTAAGCTTGATTTAAAAGTACTCAAAGTATTATATTATTTTTCTAATTAAAATAAATCTGTAATAGTCTTGTTAGAATGGAGAATATTTTATTTACTTATTTGAAGAACATGATTTGGGTAATTGATGTAAGTTTTCAGACTAAGGTAACAGAAATGAAATAGTTAAACAGCTTAGTCCTTCATAAAAACAAACATTAAATGAACATTTTATTTAATCACTTCATGTTCCTTCATCTTGGAGACAGTTCATGTATCCCAGGCTGGACCTAACCTTGTGATTCTCTGTCTTCAACTTTGCACATGTACGACATTAGATTTTGCCAATTTGCTTTCCATGGAATGCTTCAAAAGTTTAAAGCTTTAAAAGTTTTAAAGATTCAAAAATTTGCCTAAAATAATTTAATTGAGTCTTCTGGTTTCTCCCAACTATATTCTTTTCCAATCCCAAAGGAGAGAGTGCAGAAAGCAAATTTTATTACCAGAGATAACAGCAGTGCTGTAGAAGTAGGTAAGTCTGTGTATAAATTCCAGCTAAGGAATCATTATATGTGTGAGCTTACATTCAGCACTCTAGAACTCCATGTTTTCACTGTTCACACTCTCACATGATTATTGTAAGAATTAAATTTGTGAATATATTAATATCCTTTAACATAGCAGAATTACTCAAAAAATGATTATTATTAAAGCTAAATCCAAATTAGTAATTTCCTCATGCTTTGTTAGAAAAAATGTTCAGAATGAGTACGTGGCAAATTTATAGTAAATTGCCAAACACAGTTACATAAACAACAGTTCAAAAACTATGCACAGATTCACTTAAGGGCAGTTTATAAGAGGTAGAAATAATATTCTGTTACCTAAGATTTGAAATCACCCAAATTCCTATTACTTGTGTGGATGGTAAATGATTATACAGTCACACAACTAATACTGTTAGGAGAATGCATAGTTTACAACCGAGTGCATCAGCTCAGATTAATCCTGCAACCTCATGATGTTTGAAAGAAGCCATACTATGTTTTGACAAATAAATCTAGTGATGACCCTAGTGATTGGAAATGTGAACCTAAAAGAATGGTTCTTTTTATGTGCTGATCATGTTCTGCTTCTTGATCTGGCCAATCTGTAGGTAAGTTAAAAAAGTGATCATAGGTTACAGATTTTAAAGATTAAATAATACCTATTTTAGTTGGCACACCTTTCTAAATGAGTATTATCCGTTGATAAACAATCTTAGAAAGAATAGAGATAGAGATAGAGAGATAGATGATAGATAGATGATAGATAGTAGATAGATAGATAGATAGATAGATAGATAGATAGATAGATAGATAGATAGATAGATAGAGATATATATAGTACCCAGCTTGAAGTATAGGGAAGACTTGTGTTCTTATTTCAATATGTCATCTCTAAAATTTGTGTGTATCTTACTTCTAAGCTACAAACTCCTGTCACAGAAGAAATATGTAAAAACATCCTCATGTCATGGAAATAAAGATGGAACTTGGTAAAAGGGCATTGAGCTTGTTCCAAATTTGTAAGAACATTGAGTGTATACAATGTATATATGTGTACATATATATGCAACTATATGCATGCTTATGTCTAAACAATTTATAGTATTCAAAATAAAAATCACATTAAATGATAATTACCTGTGCAACACATTTTAATGTCAATGTGTTTCCACCAACAACTTGAAGAATAAATTCCCCAATCTCTGGAGAATTAAAAGTTGGTTGCCATGATACCTCACATTCCAGTGAGCAATATGGATCAACGATGCCTACAGAGAATATATAGAGAAAATAAGGCCATTACAACATTCTTATTAGTTGGGCCATTGTAAATACCACAAATTAGAGCTTTCTTAAAAATGTAACAATCAAATCATTGATATTAAATTCCAATTGTGTGGATATGCTGAGTGAGAAATTGCCAAATTAACATAGAGCTATGGGATTTACTTGAAATCTGAAATTAACAATTTATTTCTGAAGCTTATGCTGTAAAGAAAAATGTATGACCAAAATATGCCAATGTTCAAATACCAATAAATTTGTCAATAAGAAACACACTATAGGATAAGAAAGGGTTATATATATATATATATATATATATATATATATATATATATTATATAGTTTATAGGAAATAATTTGAGATTGTTAAGCAAATCATTGTCCCCTCTATATATTTTACAACGTTCTAAAATACTTATCAACATTTGACACTCACTCAGCTTTCAGAGAAAAGAATCATCATTACTAGAGAAATTATTTTATTTTTATTGTAAAAATACTGTACAGAGGGGTGCAGTTACATGAGTAAGGTAATGAGTACATTTCTTATCCAGCATTGTTACTTCCTCCTTTGTTTTTCCCCTACTATCCCTTCCCTCCCCATCTCCAACTCCTCCCTCTTCCCCCCCTCCAAGTTGTAAAGTTTGTTTTCAACATAGTGTCTTGTACATCTCATTGTTACAATGGGTCAATCTGTATCCTTATTTCCACATTTTGTTATTTCCCTTCTTCTCCCCAAATTAGAAAAATGTACATACAAATTTTTGTAAATGTACATATCCCTGTAGATGTAACTTCCCATGTAGCTCATAGTATTTAAATTATTTCTAGAATTCAGATGTTTTTAGAGCTTATGTGTTTAGAATCCTATTTGGTATGAGAGGCTTTTACCTACTCAAAGTTATCATTTTCTTTGGAATAAGGAAAAATGTATACTTGAAGGAATAAAATGAGTTAGAAATTCTTTCAGGGAGAGAGAAACTTCTGAAATTCAAGGGAACATGATACTGTGTGAATATCATAGTTTTTACCTATAAAAGCAGAAAAGATGGGGTGAAATTTGAACCATGGAAGTGGCAAAAACTTCATCAAATGGCTTCTAAAACTGGCATGAGGATGAATAGAGTGAGTTAGAGTAAAGTCACTGTATCACAAAGGGTTGAGTGACTCATGGTTTTACTAAGAGTAAAGTCAACAAAAAAGTAAAGAAAACAAGCAGGAAAACATTCAATGCTTATAAAAATATCAAATTAGAAGTCAATCATTTGAAAAGAAACAAAACCTTAATAACCCATATTGTTAAATCACATTTACCTAGGTAAAAATTACCCTGATCACAGTATCTAGTTACTTCTATGCTCTTAGCCAGAATACAACTTAATTGATGCATGTCTAGATACACAAGTGAATTAATAAATAAATGCCTGAATGAAACAAAATAAATTATTACCACTAGCTGGACGAATAGAAAAGGCAACCCCTTTATCTGTATTTATTGGGTGCCATCCAAACCGAGCAGGAAGATTCTGGCGATTATGCAATTTAACTGTCCCTCGAAAACACGTTTTCACTAAGAAAGCTTGGGGTTTCAATAATATCTCCTTAGAAGATAATTCAAGTCTTATTGCTGTAATAGCTGCCATCACCAGGATATGCCCACCAGGAATGCTGTTGACTGTAAATGTAAATGACCTGTAACACACCAAAAGCATCCATGTTTAAGTGATCATAGCTATTTTGACTATAGGGTTACAGGTGGACCCATTGCAACAATGAGATGTACAAGTCTTTATGTCAAAAAATGAACTTTACAACTTTGGTGGGGGGTAGGGGGAGGACCGGGTGGAGGGGGAGGGGGGGGAGTATGGGAAGGGATGGGAAGGGGAAACAAAGAGGAGGCAACAATGCTTGATAAGAAATGTACTCATCTTGCCCATGTAATTGTAACTCCTCTGTACGGTATTCTCACAATAAAAAAAAACTCTTAAAAAAAGAATTCACTTATGTATGAAAAATGTATGTCATAGATTAATCTACATAATTAATAACTAGTAGGTAATATTTTAAATAATTATGAAAGAGAATTACATTATCAGAGAAATATGAAACTACAGATCTATGAGTTGACACATACATACTGCTCATGCTTTGAAATCAAATATAATATAGTACAATTATTTAGGTAAATACATACTACAAATGATCCTAGCACACAGAAACTAAAAAATGAAGCTTACTTCCAAAAATTTCCAATTTTATGGGATTCAAATACCATTGAAACATAAGTACTAGCTGTGGGTGGAATTACAAATGATAATTGTTTTGTTTTCTGAAGTTCTTCCATGTTAACATCTAACTGGACCAAAACATGCATAGAGAGCATATTAATAAAATGCAATTGACGAATGTTTGTAGAGCTCACACAGATATTACCGAAGTTCAGAATTGAGGGTCCTAAAACAATAAAAAGTAAGTTATTAATTTTAATGTTGAAATGTTTTCATTTATCTAATTGAAATTAATAAAATTATAGAAAATGATAAAATATTTACTATAATGGCAAGCTTTTTTACTTAAATGATCAAAAATTGATATTTACATTTTTGACTAACTTCTAATATGAATATATTCTAATTATATAACAAAGTAAGCACAATATAACTCATCTCAGCACACTAATTCACAACAAATTCTCTTAGCTATCGTCAGTGAAATTATTTTATTCATGAATCCAGAATTTACAGGTATTAGTAATTTTACCATAACTCACTATTCAAGTCTTTTCCTTTTAAATGTCAATTATTAGAATATAACAGACACATATTTTGTGTTCCAATGAATTTTTTATTCTGGGAAGAAGTTACTTTAAAACATTATTTGTTTCAAATCTTTCATTATATAAGTTATATAGGTCTGCAGTAGTGTTATAAATAGCAATAATTTGCTACTACTAAAAGAACTTGCTGAGTATTTGTTACATTGACCTATAAGCCATGAAGGTTTTGATTTCAATCAGCTCGGTGGCAACAGTAATTATTCCTGGTTTTTTCAGGGTTGATTATTCTATAATCCCTTGTAATTTTTTATTTTGCTCATTTGGGATGGCTTTCTCACATTCATTATCTGGTTAAACATTTTCTGAATAATTGAGAGAGGCCATCAGCAGAACAGAAGTTTTATTGTGAAGTTCTTTTCTTTCCAGCTACTCTGATCCATACCATCTAGCTTCCTTGGTGATCCTGGTCTCCTATGTTTGTCATTTCATTGCATGAATTCTTTCAGGTTTTTAGTTCCTTCTCTATGTGCTGTGGACTGGAAACTCTCATGTTAGTAAATCTCTTTGGTACCTTTTTAAAAAATTAATTTTCTTTATTGTTATTATACAGGTGATCTAAAGAGGGATTACACAATTATGTGAGTCACATAATGAGTACATTTCCTTTAAAACACTGTTTTCTGTTCCCTCACTCTCTCCCAGTCCCTCTCTATCTTTTTATCTTTTTATTTATATATTTATTTTTGCCGGTCGTGGGGCCTGAACTCTGGGCCTTGGCACTGTTCCTCAGCTCTTCAGCTCAAGGCTAGCACTCTACCACTTCTGGGTTTTTCTGCTTATGTGGTGCTGAGGAATCAAACCCAGGGCCTCATGCACGCAAGGAAAGCACTCTACCACTGAGCCACATTTCCAGTCCCCCTCCCTATCTTTTTAAAAGTCATTTTTATTGTTATCATTAAGGAGCTGTACAATATCATCCTTCTTGAACAATATCATCCCTTCTTTCCCTTTTCCCCATTTCCACCCTCCCATCCCTGCCCACAAGTTGCATAGTCCATTTTTACATAGTATATATTGAATACCATGACTGCATGTGTACATACTTCCCACTTCCATTCTTATGCCCCTGATACCATATTTTTCACTGTTTGATATTCCATGTAAAGGAAAATCTGATGTATTTTTGTCACTTGTTTTTGATCATTTCAGGCAGGTGGTTAAATTTGATCTTTGTCACTCCAGCTTAAACAAAAATGGAAGTTTCTCCTACCTTAAGCTGAGCTGATATAAGATATTATGAACATGTTAATAAGTGTTGCTAGTTACTATGCCTATCACTTACAATATGCTTGAAAGGGTGTTTACTCTCTATTTGATGAAGGAGACTTCTGACTGAATATCTACCAGGTTGGCCAGACATGAGAATAGGAAAATAACCATGTTATAAGGCATGTGAGAAACATCAGTTATAACAGAAACAAGCTGGGGTGATATCCAAGCATGTATTGTTAGGTTGGTCAAAATGTTAATAGAAAGTGTAAAAAAAGTGGAGCAAACTAATCAAACAAGTCTATTGTGTTTAATAATTACCTTAATTTTGAAATATATAATTAGAATCAGTTTTCTGAAACTATAATCTTTTTATGGGATTAGGCCCTGCTCCATTTAGAGGCTCAAAGAGCACCCCCAGTATGTAAAAATGAGAGCTACTCCCTTACCCATTTCATTAAACATATCCTCTCTATATACTTCCTCCAGTCCACTTAAAATTCCCTCAGATTATCTGGCTTTGTCAATACAGAATCCCTATTCCCAGAGTGACTGTACTAAGATGCTCAGGGCATCAGGGAAAGAAAGGAGGGAAATTAACAGAGAAGCTGTAGAAAATTCAATGAACACTGTCTTTTAACTTTCTTTTGTTTTTTGTGTAGATCTGCTTGTCTGATCAGTCAATAACTAACTTGGAAGGCAAGAATAGTTACCAAATAATAGGGAAAGATAAGTTCATGGAACTATAGAGCCTAGCATCTCTCAAATTCCTGGCCATTGTAACTTGATAGAGTTACTTTGGCAACCTTTTAGGAGGTTTTATTTTTTTTTAAGTCAGTTATACTTTTTCTGTACAAGTCAGCAATTCTAATCTTAAGAATCTAATAGAAACTAAAACCTTACAGCCCTTCAAAAAATTTTATGTCAGTATGTATAGCCTCATGATCCATGAGACACAAGTTTGAAACAGCACAATATCCAAGAAACAGTGGAAAAATAAATAAAAATAAATAAAATAACAGTGGGATGCCATTTACATATAGAAATTAATAAGGAGTAGCAGATATATAAGTCCCAAAAACCATATGCTGTGATAAAAGTAATATGTAGTTTATCATATATCATATTATTCCATTTATATGGAATGTTCAGAACAGAAAAAATCATAAAGATAGAAAGGATTTATTGATAGCTCAAGGCAGAAGGTAAAAATAGGGAGTGATTGCCTACAGATACAGTGGTGATTATATATTCTAAACTGAATTGTGATGGGGGCTTCATAACCAAATTTAAAAAAATTTATTGACTTCTATTCTTTAAAATTATGATTTCTGAAGATTATAAATTATCTCTGATAAATAGGCTAAAAAAATAATGCAATATGTTTTTCTATGTTCTTACCAACAATTACTTGATGAATTTGCTTTGGTGTCAAATGTAAGCTACACTCATGTTTCTCCTGGTTAGTGGATGGTTCTGATTTAAGTCCTTTGAGAACCTGAGGAAAAACAAATTTTTCCAAAATTAATCATTCAATATTATCAAGAGCTATTTTAAGAATTTGAATATTAAAACAAAAAGTAAAGTATCACATATACCTTATTATGTTGGGCCTCTATCTCCTTCGATGCCATTTTCTTTGTACTTAATAACTGAGTGTCATTGATGGGAGACTCTGGTGGAGGTAAAGGTATTACCTCTTCTATTTCAGCTACTGAGAGAGGGGGTGACTTTAGGCCCGACCCTGGTTGTAAGCCTATGTCTGTGTCATTATGTGAACACATATGTTGCCTATTAAAATAACAATAAGAAAAAGAATGAACAATTGAGGCCAGGTTATTTATAAAATATAAATATAAATGCAAATAGTCCCCATAGTACACGTTGTTGGGGCTCACTCATATCTACTTAGCCAGACTGGAACACTAGTCGACAGGAAGTTTTCCTCCACTAAGGCCCATTCTCTTCTAACACCACTTATGGGAAGTTATATCCGCTTCAACTGCTGTGTCACATTCAGGAGCAGCCCACAGTCAATGAGAGGCAGACATCAGTTAAGACAAGCTTCTTTATCTAGAGGAAGGGACAGCTATGTGGCATAATTTATGTTCAAAAGATTCTAAGAATTAGGCTGAGTATAAACTGTATTTGAAACACATTCCTTCTTCAACTATCTTCCTGCCTCTGTTCTGCATCATTCATTCTGTACAGGTTCCTCCTGAAAAAAAATCTGCACACATCACATATAATGGAATCTCTGTTTTAAGGTTAAGATTGTGCCTAAGACATACATCTCCATATCAAATGGTAATAATATTACTATAAATAAATTCAAAACAGAAAGAAACTAAAGAGCAAAGAAAATATATGATGTTCACATGCAGAAGATTATAATTTGAACCTTATTGTTTATCATACACAAATATCAACATAAAATAGAACAAGGACATGAAATTACTATAATAAAACCTGGAGTAAATAAGACACTAGCACAAGCAATTTTTTTGGAGAAGACCACCAAAATACAGGCAACCAAAGCAAAAGTATACTAATTCTATCAACTTAGGAAACTTTGGTGTAAGAGTCAAGAAACACCTATATCTTAGAGGAAGACTGCAAACTATTCATTTGACAAAAGATTTCTCAAAATATTAAAAAAAACCCTCAATAACAAAGTCCCTAAACTAATCAATTCATGTATGACAAACGATACAAATGTACACATCTCAAAGGAAGATTTTAAATTTGTTTTAAAATTGGGTGGTGAAACAATCAGGGAGCACAGTACAGAGGTTCTTTACAAAAGTAAAACTAGATGTATCATATGATACAGCTTATTCCACTTCTGGCTATTATTTACAAACAGCATAATGAAGAGATGTCTGACTACCCATGTTTATTTAGTCATAACTGCCAAGTCATAGATACAGAAAGTGTGGTATATATGCACTACACAAGAAGTATTATTTAGACATTATAAAGAATGAAATGCACCTGTAATCCTAGCTACTCAGAAGGCTGAGGGCTGAGGATAATAGTTTAAAGCCAGTCTGAGGAGGAAAGTCCTTGAGACTCTTATCTCCAATTAACCACAAAAAAGATAGAAATAGAGTTGTGGCTCAAGTGATGGAGTGCTATCCTTGAGCAAAAGACAAACCAAAACAAAAAACAAAAAAAAAAATTCATGGACAAAGCTTAGGCCCTGAGTTCAAACCAAAGGGCCTACACATACAAACACATCACACATACACACATACACACATGAATGAAATCCTCTCATTTTCAGTCAAATGTTGAAACAATATGTTAAGTAAAATGCAGAAAGAAAATACCACATGTTCTCTCTTATATGTAGATGCTAAAATATTTGATATGAATGTAGAAAAGTGGATATTACATGTTGGATATTTGGGGGCAGTTAGGAAATAAAGGGAATATTAGAAGTACTGAAACGCAGGTGGAATTAAGTTCTAGATTTCTTCATAGAGGTAAACACAAATGGAAACATAAATTATCCTCACTTGATTTGTACACATGTCCTGAAACATCCAAATACTTCATAAATAAGTTCAATTATTTCTTTGATTAAAAGTATTACAAATATTGGAAGAGATGGGAATGCTAACTGCCCTAAATTGGTCAGTAGACACCATACACATGTATCAAACTATTAAACTACACACAAATTTGTATAATTAAAATAACCATTTTCTTAAAAATACCTATATGGGCACCTTCATTTGGTATATTGTTTGATGGGCTGTACTTTACCTCTCTGCTTCTTTCTGTAGGCGAATGTTCCTTGAGTTTCTAATATATTTTGTGTAATAGTCTTGATGTGCTTTCTTTTTTTCTTGTTCAAGGCTAGTATATTCATATTCATGATCTATATAATTATGTCTTGGAGTCTTCGTGAAAATTGTCCTACAATGTGAACAAGTCTTGTTAAAATTTAAAGCTATGTATTTGCACTGTTAGTGTGTGTTACAACTTCAAGCCAACTACTTTGGTAGACCTGGTCATACAATGGGGAATGGAATCATCCTTTGCCTCATATCCTATTCTGTATGAAAAAACTTCTTTCAGAAGTATGTAGAATAAAGTCAATTTTTAAAATTTTATCAGAGAAAAAAGCTTATTTTTAAGCTTATTGGTAGGCAGGAGTACCTACCATAAACTTGCCCTTATGGAATTAGTGAAATAGGCTATTTGGAGAGTTCTAAATTATAAATTAGACCTGAAAAATTAAATTTTAATCTGATCAGTTTGTCCTAAGAGATCAATACTTTTAGATCATTGTGATAAAATTTAAAAATATAGAATAGTGAAATCTTTTTTCAAGCATGTTACTTTCCTAAAACCATAGAGGTTATAAAATATGAACAATAAATCTATAAAAAAGAAGTACTCAATAAAAATAACTGTAATTTTTATATATGTTAGATTGACCTCATTGCTTTCATGTTCTTTCCTTTTTAACTGCTACATATTTTCAATGAATTACAAAGTAATATCATGAATACATTCTGGCCTTAGTTGACCTCAACCTTTAGTAAATTTTATGTCATTAAGATTCTTACCCTCAATAACTCATGTGTATGATAAATGGAAATAGAAATTTCATCACATTTTTCCTTGTTTCATACTTCCTTGATAGTCATATAAAGATATATTTAACTTAACTTTTAACAGAGTGATACAAAAAGAATATAAAATGCATAGTTACTAAAAAACAGTTAATATTTAAATTTTCCATCAAGCACTAAGTTTTATGTGGTATTGAAGATTGAACTCAGGACCTCACACATGTTAGTCAAGTGCTCTAACATTTGAGCCATACCCAAAACCTTTTGCTTTTAGATTTTTGTCAGATTGGGTCTCATGTTAACTCTTTGCTCAGGCTATCCTCAAATTATTATCCTTTTTCTCTCTTTCCCTAGAGCAGGAAAACAATACCCTTCCACACTTAGTCAAGCTCTAAAACTCTTAGAAATAATTTTCTTATCTAAAGTTCTAATGTCTGTAAAAAGGAGAAAAGGAAGGACATGTAAAGTACCAATGGGGAAAACACCTTAAGTGACAAAGCATTATTAACATATCGAAATCCTTATATATTCTTAAGTAATAAATATTCCTTAATAATAAAAATTTATTTTCATTAACAGGAAGGATCAGGAGGATTATGATTCTAGTCCAGCCTGGGAAAATTTTCAGAAGACCTCCATCTCAACCAATAACTGGGTATTGTGTCTCAAGCTTGTCATACTAGTTATGTTGGGAGGCTGAATTCATGAGGATCATGGTTCCAGGATAACCTAGGCAGAAGTATACAAAGCTCCACCTCAATGAAAAAAGCTGTGCATGGTAGCACATGCCTGTCATTCCAGCTGCAGTGGGAAGTATGACTAGGAGGATGAAGCCTAGGCCAGACAAAGGTAAAAAACAAGGCCCTATTTCAAAATAACTGAAGGAATGAATCATGTGATATAGCTTGCCAAGCAAGCATGAAGACCTGAATTCAAATTATAGTGCTATTAAAATAGATAAATGTTTCAATGAGCAAAAGTAAATATAGTACAATAAAATTTCTTTCATACAGGACTGAATCTTCTCTATTAATGTAAAGCAGATTTATTGAGGAAAAATAAATGTCTATGGAATAAATAGGAAGTGCTAAATCTTATATTTAAATGATCTAATTGATACAGAGTTAGAAATAAAGTGTTAACACTAACTTAAAGCATTTCATCCACATATTTACATGAGATATATAAATGTTTCCAGAAGCTACCATTGCAGGGAAAAAGAAGACACAATTGACTTTTTACAACATATAATTATTTAAATTTGAATCTGAATGCTTTTTTTCTCTGTTATGGTACTTGTCAAATGAAAACAAGGGCAAACATAAATAGGATTTGTAAAATAAAACAGAATATTCTATAGCACACTACAGAATGTTTATAATAAAAATGGCCTAAAAATCAAATGACATTACAGTAAATTTGCTACAGAATTAAGTGAACTTAAAGGTTCTCTAAAGTAAAGTGACAAGTTGAACTATCAAGTTTAGGTAGTATATTAGTAGCATAATACAGGCAAAAAGAAACCTGTATCACTTGCAAATGTGTACAAAGTATATTTTTGGCTCAGGGCATAGAAAAACATTTCAAAATGCATTGATTATTTCTAGTGAATAATTTGTAAGGTAGTAAATTTGTAGAGGTTTAAATATCTGTTATTTTAGCTCAGCTTAGAAATAGTTACATTAAGTATATCTTTGAGGGGATAACTAAAGATGATGATAATAATGATAGTTTTCCACAATATAATACTTTTATTCAGATAAGCTCAAGCACTCAATCATATTGAGTAAACATATCTATTCTGAGGACTTACATTTCTAAGTATGGTAATTTCTGTCATTTTTCTATACTTGTTAATAATAGTTATGAAAAGTTGTTTTACATATCAGTCACTTCCAGGTAGTACACAACAGAGGCAATAAAAAGATTAGATAAAGAAAATACAGTTGGGCATTCAACAACCATGTGCTCCATATTAAAAAGAGAGAAAACAACTGGGTGCCAGTGGCTTTCACCTGTAATTCTAGCTATTCAGGAGGCTGAGATCTGAGGATCACAGCTAAAGCCAACCTGGACAGGAAAATCCATGAGACTCTTATCTCCAATTATCCACCAGAAAACTAGAAGTGATGCTGTGACTCAAGTGGTAGAGCAACTAGCCTTGAGCTGAAGAGCTGAGGGACAACACCCAGGCCCAGAGTTCAATCCCCATGACCAACAAAATTTTTTTAAAAAGCAAAAAGAAACAAAAAAACCGTAAAAACAAAAAACACAAATGCTAGAAGTGGTGTTATGGCTCAAGTGGTAGAGTACTTGAGCTGGAAGAGCTCAGGGATAGTGCCCAGGCCCAGAGTTCAAGCCCCATGACCGACTAAAAAAAAAAAAGTTTTACTGACATCATTTTATTTAACATCATGTTCTCATGTTCTTGGCAGACTTTTGAATATCATTAGAGATTATGTTTTTCAAAATTACAACTTTTAATATGATATGTTACCTGAAAGTCTTATGGTGATCTCCAGGCCTTATACTCCCAGGTCGGTCATTGGGATAGGCTATCAATGCATTGGCTGTGGACTTTTCATTTATGTGATGATTATGCAGGCATGTTGTGGCTGATTGCAGCATTGCTACAGGTACAGGATTCTTATTTTTTGCCAAATCTTTGATTACAAACTTTCCAATAGGATTACTGACGAAAGGAGATAAACCTTTTATAGAAATGAGCATTAAGTTTATCTTTGGCAGTTTGAATTTTAGCTTTCTTTTAAAAAGTCATAAATTAATACACTATTATAATTGGCTCTAATTTAAATACTAAATTTCCAAGGAAAAATAATCAGGAAAAACAGATCACTTTACACAGGCATACACAGAACAAGTTAGCAAAGGAATACAGAAATAGATTATAAAATGCATGCATCATATAAATATAACTTGAAATACTTCTGTTGATCTACATGAAGCTGAAATTTACATAGGTTTAAACAGTTGTATACCATCCAATTTCAATATATGAAATGTAATAGAGTACTGAGTGAAATAGCAACAACCAGAAAATCTGGGGATGGTCAAATCCAGATTATAGTCAGACTTAAAGAATGAAATGTAGCTGAGCACTGATGGCTCACACTTGGGATCCTAGCTAATTAGGAGGCTGGGATCTGAGAATTGCAATTTGAAGCCAGTCCAGGAAGGAACTACTCTTACCTCCAATTAACCATCTAAAAACAAGAAATGGAGATTTGACTCAAAGTGGTGGAGCACTATCCTTGAACAAAAATCTTTCAGGAACAGCGCCCAGACCTCAAGTTCACGCCCCACAACTGACCCCTCAAAAAAGAGTAAAATGTAGAAAGAAGAACCTATGTCAGCCATTAAAATATATAGATCATTCACTAAAAGTATAACACTCAGAATAGAAATATACCATCTACTAGGAACTTAGTAAAAACACAATTCTTTTGATCCAACATAGACCTGCTTAATAACCAATGTTGAAATGCAAGCCAGTGATAATATATTTGAACAGGCCTATGGGATAATTTTGATGCATGCTAACGTATGAAAACCAGTTGTTTCAATCTTATCTGATGTGTACAATAAAAGTTAATATATCCAGGTAATTCTATACATGTTCTATACATATATTCATAACAACAAGTATATTGAAAACAACACAGTACTGTACCAGGATTAATTTTCATCACCACTTTCTTAGTGACAGCTTTGCATACACTATGGAACTCTAAATATATTTGATGAAATGGTTTCATTGATAAAGACTCTAATTTTTCATCTGCCACTGGGCCAATAATATCTATTATTTGCTGTACTTTGAAGGATCCAATTTGGCGTGGAGTAAAGGAACATATCACATTCTAAAAAAAAAAAAGAAGAAAAAAAAAGTAATCAATGACCTATCATTATGGAAAAAATACAAAGAAATCATTTATTTTAGTTTCAAGGAACACTAGTTCATCATGGTGATATTAAAGTACTTTACAGAAATCCAGCATGGACAAACATAAATATTATTAGGACTTAAACTAAGAATACAGTACACCACAGCATTTGAAGAATGAGAGTTAGAGGACTTCCAGATATTCCTCCTCACGAAGAAAAAGAAAACAATGACATAAACTTGTCAAAATATACTTTTTCAGATATTTAAAAGTTATCTTAAAACAAATATCTGAACTATTTTTAATGTTGCTAAAACTCTAAAGGAATAGAAAAGTTTGGGTCATTTTTATTTACTAAATTCTCCTTCTAAACCTAAGTAAGATTTCTCCTGGAAAAAAAAACAGCACTATGAGTATATAACTATGAAAAACATTAGCCTAGATGCAATAAAAGGAAATAGGTTTACAAAACTCCAAGAATTTAATCTTAAGAGAATTGTAATTATGTGTTCTAACTGGCAGCTGGCTGGCTAGAATGCCTAATATTAGAGCATGCCTTTATTTGACATGATTCAGAGCTCACTTTGTATCAACAACCATCTCCTGAGATTAAAAACAGCAAGTGGAAAGTAAATTATTAAATTAAGACTAAGATATTCATATGGCATTTGCAAAGTTCTGGCTTATTCCTGGGAATCTAAATTGTTATACATATAGACAGGACAGTATGGATGCAAAAGAAAGAACTGAGAACACTTTATTCTCTCACTGGACTGACTTTGAAACTCTTTACAAGGTTAAAGGTTGCAAGATCGGTCTATAAAAATAACTGCATCCAGGCACTGATGGCTCAGGCCTGTAAATTGTAGCTACTCAGGGGCTGAGATCTGAGGATCATGGTTTGAAGCCAGCCCAGGGAAGAAAGTTCATGAGACTCTTATCTCCAATAAAAACTATTAAAAAGCCAGAGTGGGGCTGTGTCTCAAGTGATAGAGCACTAGCTTGAGCACAAAGCTCAGGGACAGCACCTGGGCCCTGAGTACAAGCCCCAGTACTGGCACAAAAATAGAAAACATTTTATATACTATAGCTAACATTTATTGTATCTAAATTAGGGGTCATACTAATGAAACAGTAGGAGATATAAATAGAAGCTACTTGCAATATAAACACATGTACAATAGTCTGTTATTACAATTAAATCTTCCATCAGTAATTTCATGAGGCACATTACTATGCAGTAGAGGAAAGGTGATAAAATAATGAACAAGTAATATAATATTGAAAACTTTAATGTTTAGAACAGAATTTGGCAAACTTTTTCTGTAAATAACCAATATAAGTATTTTCCTAGTATGTTCAAGGTCCTAGGGTTCAATGCTTACCATTCAAAGGAAAAAAATAATGTGCCATGTCATTTCCTCACCAATACTTAACTCTTCTTTGATAGCATAAAATCAGTTTTAGACAATTGGAAAACAAATATGAATAGCTATGTTTCACTAACACTACTTACCAACAAAACAGACATAGGGGTAATTTCTGCTTTCAGATCATAGCTGTCAAAGCCCTGATTTAAGGCATCTAGGAAAGAGTTGTCTGAGCAGCAGTTATAAATAAGATAGCACATGACATCCAGAAGCTAGCCTGATACCAACATGAATGCCTTGGTATTATCAGCAATATTAGTGCAGAATAGTTATCACTAGTTTCCAATTTCCAATTTTACTCAATCTTCAAGGTACTGCCCATGTTATTCTCCTGTGATGACCTTTCTACTTGGTTGGAAGCAAATACATTCTGTTCTCTAAGTTTCTATGCATGTCACTCTATTACTGTTCTCTTTTAATATAATCCACATCTTAAACCATATGCCTTACAACTCTGTATTACATTAAAATATTTTAGAAGCAATGACTATGTTTTATAGGTCTTAAGAATGATAAATGCTTTTCCTGGCACATCATAGGCATTTAGAAAATAATTCCTGATTCTCTATTACTATAATTATAAAAGTACTCAGAGATAATTCTAGGAAACAAAAGTCCTTGTAGAGCAAATGTGGTTTCTTTTCTCTCTTTTCTTTAGGTGATACTGCGTTTGACCTCAGGGACTTGTACTTGGCTAAGCAGGCCTTCATCCATTTGCACCACAGTTCTCATGAATTTTGGCCTTACTTTCAAGTCTTCAATACTTTCAAGTATTCCTACCTTTGATATGCTGCACAGCTAGTATCAATGGTGCATTCCATCATGTCCATATTATTGATATTTAGTGAAACAAAGATCTTTCGAACTAAGCCAGCTACTCAAGAGGCTGAGATCTGAGGATCACAGTTTGAAACCAGCCTAAGCAGGAAACGCCGTGAGACTCTTTTCTCCAACCACAGAAAGCTGGAGGTGAAGCTGTAGTTGAAATAGTAGAGCACTAGCTTTGAGTACAAAAGCTCAAGGACAGTGCTCAAGCCATGGGTTCAAGCTCTAGGACCCAACCCCACTCCACCTCGCACATGTGCACACATGTACACAGACACACCCACACACACACACACGGACACACACACACACACGGACACACACACACGAGCTTCCTAGCTTTTCACATGGGCTGGCCTCAAATCAAAACCCTCCTAATCTCTACCTCCTAAATATCTGGGATTACATGCATGACTGACTCTGGCTGGCCGAAACGTGTGGCTTTTAACTCTCCATATCATTTGCTTTGTTTTTTTTTTTTTAGCAGATCTTAAAATATATGTGAGTTAAAGCAAAGAAAAACTGTCTTACAACAAGACACTATGTTGGAAATTAACCTTACAACTTTGGTGGGGGAGGGGGAGCTAAGGGATAATGGGAGAAAAACAAAGGAGTGGGTAACAATGCCTGAAAAGAAATGTACTCGTTACCTTGCTGATGTAACTGTAACCTCTATGTACAGCATCTTTACAAGAAAATAAAATTTAACAACAAAAAAACCTGTCTTACCTGGATACACCCTTCATCAATCTTTCCCCTTGCAGGATCAATTGTAAAATGTGCAGTATTTTGAAAACGGTACATCACAGGAAGTGATTTAGACTGATTTTGAACAATACACATAAGATCAGAATGTTCTCCCATATTACAAGGTGGAAAATGAAGGACATTTCCTGGATCAAACTGTAATACTACAGGAAGTCCTGAGCCTGTCAATGCTAATTCCACTTTTTGATGCCTATCACCTGGCAAAACAAGAACAAACATTTAATATAAAATGAGTGGGGCACTTCAAATACATATAGTTACTTAGTCTATCCACACAGTTCATTTGAAAGGCAATAATAATGAGAAATGGGTAACTTACTCAATATTTTCTTCAACAAAATTATTATCTTCTCTGTGCCAAAAACTCTTCTTGGGTATTAAGTAACAAAGCAGAATTTGTGTTCATGGACTTTATATTATAATGAAGCAATTCTGACCAAAATTAACAACTCTATAGCATTTCTCAGAAGCTAAGTGGTAATAGAAAAGGTAAATTGGGGTGGAATGGATAGAATACAAGGTCTTAGGTATATTTTTGGTAGAAATGTTCAAAAAAATCTCTTTTGTCCAAATTATAAAGCAAATTATAAAGAGAATCTGGAAAAGAAATCATGTGAACATTCACAAAAAGTATATTGTGGGCAGAGAAAGCACTAAGTATAAATGCTCCTAAGTATCTAATATCTTGTCATGTTCAAAAACCCCTAAAGAATCAAATATAGTCAGGGAAATATAATAGAAGAATGATGAAAATGGTCATATTGTAGACACACTCTTGGGTAAATCAGATTTGTTTATAGATTGGATACAGATTATAAAGGATGAGACTAGGGTTTTTCACAGAGCAACTAAATGATAGAATTGCCACTTCTCCAGATAGTAAAGAACAAAGGAGGAGTAAATTATAGGAAAAAAAACAAAATTCCATTTATACATGTTAAGTTTGAGGTAACTAGTAGATATCCTTAATGTGTTTATTAGAGTGATGATGCAGAACGGATTGGAGAGTTGAAGAAAGTTAAAAAGGGATATAACATTCATTTTGATTGAGAAAGTCTGAACAAATGGTAAACTATACTGGGAATAGTAAACTTCTTAAAGAGCCTATAGGTAACATTTACAGATTTAAAGCATAGTTTTCTGGGTTTTGTTTAGTTTTACTTTTCTCCAGCACATTCATGTTCCAACAAGTTAATCAAGAACAGTCTGAAAGTTGAATTTAATGAGATTAGGTTTTTTCCCAATCAGCTACTAAGAGAGATGAGTATGTGGAAAAGAATGATTATAATGGACAATGGAAAATGAACTGGGCAAGAATATAAATATCAAGTTTTAAGATGCTAGAAATATGATAGAAACTGTGGGTTGTAGACTCTAATTAGTGAAAGGACATTTTTGCAAAGAGCAATTTATCTAGAAAGAGTGTATTTCTTCACTGATGGTTTTACTGGCCAATTCTAGGCTCTAAATTACAGTAAGACAAATCTAGCATCTTTACCTCTAGCCATTCAAAGGTAGATTAACTTGCAAGCTTCATATAAATGTTATATGAGCAACAAACATAGCTCAATATCACAAACTGTGACATAAATAGTAACAGCAATAAAGTTCTGCCTTAGGAACACAGTTTAATCTTTCTCACTATCACTTGTATTTATCTGCAACTATTTGGGATGGACCTAAACTTCTCTGGCATGGGTCATTTTTTTATGTCTGAATTGTCTATTTCCTTGTCTTGACTGTTTTGTTTAGAGGATCCAAGTCCTATTCCATTTTTTTTACTGATCACAACCAGTCCAATAATACCTAAGAATTCAAAAGTATAATGTATAATGAGATGTGCCCTATAAATCATGTGCCTTATCAGTACCTTACTACTGTATATATGAGTCAAAATGAAGTGATGATCTGGTAAAAAATCTGGTAAAAATGGATATGCTCTTACACCAAGCACTAAGAACACACACAGACATAGCAACTAAAATCAGTTTTTAAAATTTTCTAAGTTCTAGATCATTTCATTTACCTAATATCACTTTTTAATTGTAAGGTTATCTAAATTTCACCTGTTCAGATTATAATGAAAATGTTTAAAAGGTTGACTTCATTCTTAACATACCCCTTATGACATATTAAGAACACTCGACAATATGTGTATTCTTGTTCAATGTAATGATTACATATTTTATTATATTTCCATAATTTTAAAAATCCTATATTTTCCTTACAAATATTTATGCTCAAATTTTAGCTTTAACTGATATATACTTGATGATTTTTATGTTTTTATACTTACTTTGGATAGTTTTATAGTCATCATCTCTCAAAAAGCCATCTTTACTACCTACTGAATCAAACCTTACATAGAGAGCATAGTCTTGCCTATGCGAAGGCCCAATATCCTTTATACGATCAGCTACTAACCTGTAAAAATCATGAGAAATTATTTTAAAGGAGATATACCTTATCATCTCTCAAAATAAATTACTAACATAATTCTGAAGTCTGTGTAAGCAAATTAAAGAACATAAAGCTCAGTCTGAATATAAAAGTCAGAAAAATGAGTTTATGACAATATTTCAAAGATGATACTAAGTCATCAAGACCTGGCTTACATGCTACTTTATCTAAAAAAGATTTTCTTTCCAGGAAGAATTTGTTGATATCTAAGGGCTCTGATAAATGTTCTATAATAGTCAATCTTACTCCTGAGATGAATTGAAAAGTTCTGTTACAAATATGTCTTCCCTAGTGGAGTAAATACATATCGCCAGCAAATAAACAAATAAATAAATTTGCATTTCTACCATACAGGTTCTCCAATGATTTCTCCCATAACATGAAGTATGTTAAATGATCAAAAATACTAGCAATTATATTAAGCATACTAGAATATATAAAACCTTAACATGAAATCAGATTGGAATTTTCTGGTAAGTTTTACTGTGAAAAGGATACACTCTGTTTGAAGTGTGGTTAAAGGAAGGTTGGACATGAAGCACATGCCTAAGAAGGATTACAAGTTTGAAGCAACCAGGACAAAACTAGAGTCATTAGCTCAGATACAAAATATAAATGAATTCTAGGAGTATAGCCTTGCATGGATGAGGCCCTGTCTCAATCTTCAGTTTTGGAGAATCACACACACACACACACATACACACACACACACACTATGTTGTTAAAGGGCTGAGGATATAGTTCAGAGATTGAACACTTTCTTAGCATGTGTAAAGTCCTGAGTTCTATTCCATTGCCATAAAAATTTTAACAGAACATAATAGCATTAATGTTATTTCCATTAATAATTAACATTTCCATGTAAGTAATTTTTGCTTACTTACTTTGGACTGAAACAAAATGTAATCACAATCTTTTCATATGGTAATAAAGTCCCCGAATTAGGCATGCATGAGATAAAATTAGTAACATCTATGTCCTTTATTTTGTTTAAATAAGCAAGATTATTTAAGGCAATATCTGTTCTCTCTGGAACATTTGAACCCTGTAATAAAATAATTAGAAATAAAAGCATATTAAAGTAAAACAAAAATATTCTAGAAGTTTAATAATTACAGAAATTTCAATATTCAGAAAATAGAGAATATCTAATTTTAAAGCAAAACATAATTAATGTAAAGTACATGATAAAGAATTTAAAATATTAAAAATAAGAATAATCCCTAGTTACTGCTCTATAAAAACACTTATTTGATTTACTTAAGATAGATATTGCTATAAATAATTTATTAAATTTATGAGGTTACTGTAGAAAATACACATCTGTCAGATGAATCTGTCCAGTTTGGAACATATGTAAAATAAATAGCTTCCTGGTTATTAATATATTAAGGAGCTGTTTAAAATTATACAACCTGTTATACCCGTTGTATGATTTACTTACTAATTCTTCCCCAACAGAATCATCTTCCATTATTGCCACCCAATTTATGGTTTGAGGGCTATTATTATGTAGAATTGCATGTTCAATTTTTGATGTTCCAAAAAAAACAGAACCGAATCTTATACATTCCAACTTTTTGTTATTATTCATGTTAAATAATTCAATAATCTGTTCAACCACATGAACTTTGATATTTAAAAGTATATCAGGACGACCTTGTAAACGCACTCTACAAGAAAATAAAATATGCACATGCATAAATATTTAATAATAATTGTACCATTTATTTCCTTCTAAACATTTTGATAAAATTATGTAAAATGACATTATAATTAAAATTTAATATATTAAGAGCAGTTCCTTTCACATACATTATAGAGATTATCAGGTCCTGTAGTCTGTCTGAGTCTTCACAGTAGAACATCATATGTGCAACTTAATTCATTGTCTAATTAAAACAATAAGGTTTGAAACAAACTCACAATTTGACTGCAGAAAGAACTCAATGGAATGACCTCCAGGTTTTTACCTTAGTTTAGACCTTTATTGTTTCCTCTTGCTATATTTCTAGGATCTCTAGTAAGGCTATGCCTATGCCATATTTGTACAACCTGTTCTGTTTTTTTGTTTGTTTGCTTGCTTTTGTTGGTGATGGGGCCTGAACTCTGGGTCTGGCACTGTCCATCAGCTCTTCAGCTCAAGGCTAGCTCTTTACCACTTGAGCCATGGCTCCACTTCTGGCTTTTTCTGCTTATTTGTTGCTGAGGAATCGAACCCAGAGTCTCATGCATGCGAGGCAAGCACTGAGCCACCTACACAGCTCCCATTCTGTTTTGTACACTGCTGTTACCATGGCTTTTCAAAAATGTCAACTAATTGAAACATCCTATTCCAAAAGTCTCAGTGACTTTACAGTCTTCATAATAAAATATAAACTCCTATCAGAGCTTATAACTGTTTCTCATACATTTATGCTATGGCCTTTAATAAGAAATATATTTTACATTGCAATGTAGTAACCAACACATCTGTATACTCCAAAAGCACTGAAAGACATTTTACAAAACAGAATTTACCTTACTATATGAGATTTATTCTAATATCTTTTGTTTCACCCTTTAAAACACTAATGGTGACCCACTGTATTTATTGCACTTCCAATGAACAGATCTAACTCATAAAAAAATAATTCTGGTTTATAAGGCCCTTTCAGAGATTCTGTGTGGTTCTGTTTTTCTGGTCTCATCTTGAAATATCCTCTACTTCTATATTTCTTTTTTGGGGGGGAGGTCCGGTTATGGGGCCTGAACTCTGGGCCTGGGCGCTGCCCCTCAGCTCTTCAGCTCAAGGCTAGCGCTCTACCACTTGAGCCACAGCGCCACTTCCTTTTTTCTTTTTGCTTATGTGGTGCTGAGGAATCGAACCCAGGGCCTCATGCATGCAAAGCAAGTGCCCTACCACTGAGCCACCTTCCCTGCCCCTACTTCTATATTTCTGACTACTCTCAGATCCCTCACTAGGATTTTAAAGCAAGTATTTTTTTTTCTTCCTGAAATGATTCCACTAAACCAATTCCTTCTACACACACAGATACACACACACACACACACACACACACACACACACACACACAATCATACTACTGTTGTTTGCTGACTATTCTACTTCACTAATAAGTGTTTGGTTCAACTATCACCTGTTATCTGAGCCCTTTCTTCTTCTACTCCTTCACTCCTATATGTGTACCCAAATGCCACATTCGAGGTTTTTATGTTTTTTTTTGTTTTTGTATTTCTGAGACCTTATTACTGGCAAAATTGTAGTAACTAAGTTATTGCTGAATAAAAGAAAAATAATATAAATCCAAGGTATATATTAATTATGAAACAAAAAAGTTTAAGATCCTTACTAGAGTTAGAACGATAGTAATATTACCTCGCTACTTCATTCACAATTCTGGGCTGGTTTGCACAGAAATCCACTTTGATAACTACAAATGATTTAGGTTTCACAGTACCAGTTGTTGGAGCAATGAGTATAGGCAAATGGCCCTGGTAATCTGTACGAAACAAACCTAAGGAAAATAAGAGTTATAGTATACATCTGGATCCTTGTAATGTTTCATTAATAGTCCAAGTAAGGGACACACACACACACACACACACACACACACACACACACCATAGAAGATGGTCTATTGCTGAAAAAGCATAATTAATTGTAAAGCTAGAAACTCATCTCTAGTCAGTAGCTAAAATATAATATCCACTTACTATGTCAACATTTATGGTAAGAACATTGCATACTTTTTAAATCTTTATCTCTTTATCTTTACTTAATAAAGAAACAGATGATAAAAACACTGACTTACCTTTGCAAAGTCAAGCAGCTGATGTAGTAGCTGCTGTTTTACACTCAGCTGCATTCACATCTTTAAGCTTTTGTAAACTATGGGTGTTTCCTAACTCCTGATTTTGGTTTTAACCAATAAAATCTGAGCAGAATTGATAGTATTCAAGTTCAAATTCAAATGTACTTGACAGTAAAGTGATGAATGTTTTCCTTTAGTAACTGCTACTTCATTGGCTTATGCCCCAGAATATAAAAAAGAGCAGCAGATCAACCAAACTAACCCATACACTTGAAGTAAGAAACAAAGCAGCCTGGGCACCAGTGGCTTATGCCAAGCTACTCAGGAGGCTGAGATCTGAGGATGGCAGTTTGAAACCAGCCTGGGCAGGAAAGTCTATGAAACTCTTATCCCCATTTATCTATCAAAAAAGCCATAAGTGGAGCTGTGGTGGGGTACTAGCCATGAGCAAAAATGCTCAAGGACAGTACCTAGGCAATGAATTTAAACCCATGACCAGAAGAAAGAAAAGAAAGAAGGAAAGAAGGAAAGAAAGGAAAGAAAGAAAGAGAGAGAGAGAGAGAGAAGGAGAGAAAGAAAGAAAGAGAGAAAAAGGGAGGGAGCGAGGAAGGAAGGAAGGAAGGAAAGAAGTTCAAGACAATCATTATACAAAGAAATAAAAAAATTTTATATATGGAATGGGGTAGCAGGCATTATGATACCAATTCTAATACCTATGAAGAAGTAAAGGTAAGAGAATCTCAGTCTGTGCCTGACTTCATAAAAAAGCATGAAATCCTATTTCAAAAATAAGTAAAACAAAAAATATTTGTGAGTGAGATTTAACTGGTAGAGCACCTGCTTAGCAAGTGAGAGATCCGGAGTTCAAAACCAGATACGATTATAAAAGTTTTGAAAAGATACTGAAAATATTGAAACAACTTGTTATATAGCAATATTTACTGCAGCTAATAATTGATAGAGCTCAGAGTGTTTCTAAATATAATATTCACACTTATAGCCACTAGTACTTCCTAAAGATTATTCCATTCACAGAAGGTAATGGAAAAGAGAATGTTTCTGAAATTAAATGGCATATGAAAAGTTACAGTGATTTCTCATTCTGAGAACAAAGGTAGCTTACAATTTAATGTAATGTTTGGGGTCTACATTAAAACATGCCAGCTCTGAGATCAGACACTCTATTTCATCTTTGTGGTCCCAGAACTCTACATCTTGCCTAGGTCCCAGAACTCTACATCTTGCCTAGTGGTAAGTATTGTCCAAAATACCTGCAACAAATTGGGACAATGAACCAGTGTTATTTGTCATCATAAAATATTAATACAAATGATTGTGCTGCGTAAATAAACACTGAGAATCCCCAATTCACAACTTTTAAATCACCTTTGAAAATATTGCCTGAAATTATTAATTTAATATATGATAACTAAATATGAGCACAATGGAGTTACTGAAAACATAAAAAAGTTTTTTGGCTAATTCAAGGATGAACTGAGCAAAATTCAAAATAGCAATTTTGCTAACTATTTTTATGGGAATGCTAATGACATAATATTTAAGATTCCTTTTTACTGTCATAAAATATATCCATTTTAAATAAAGTGTCAATGTCTTAATTCTCTAGGAGAACAAATAAAAGCATCAGTTAAGGCTGAATTGGAGAAGTAGTTCCTATAGCATAATTAGCTAGGCATAATTTTTGTTCTACTTTAATTTTCAGTTAGCATACATTAATGAAAAGAAGGGATTTCATTGTGATAATTTCATAAGTGTACAGTGTTCTTTGAACAAGTTCACCCACTCCATAATACTCTTCCCCCTCTCCTCTCCTCTTCAAACAGGGTTTGATGGATTTCACTGTGCTGTGTGTGTTTATCTAGTATTCTTTGATCCTCTTTGCCCTCAGTATTCTTTCCTTTCTTGATCCTAGTCCTGCTGATCCCTCCCTAGACAGTCTTCTTTTTTATTAATATCACATTATTATCATATCACCATCATCATCTGACAAAAGAATGTGAGTGAATGTTCAAAAGTTATTCGCAATAAAACCCAAAGAACATTCTCAATCTTTATAAATACTTTAAAATAATAGATATGTTAACATTATTATTTTATACAAAATTAATATATCTTTATACAATTTTTTTGCTTATGTGGTGCTGAGGAATCGAACCCAGGGCCTCATGCTTGCAAGGCAAGCACTCTACCACTGAGCCACCTTCCCAGCCCCTCTTTATACAATTTTTAAACAAGGAACTACTTTCATGACTTTTTTAAATTGGTAAAAAAAAAAAAGCTAGAGCTAATTTTGATATTTTAGCTCAATTTTGGTTTTGTCAGTCATGGGGCTTGAACTCAGGGCCTTGGCACTGTCCCTGAGCTTTTTTGCTCAGGGCTAGAGCCACAGCATCACTTCTAGCTTTCTGGTGGTTAATTGGAGATTGAGTCTCATGGACTTTCCTGCTTAGGCTGGCTTTGAACGACAATCTTCAGAGGTCAGCATCCCGAGAAGCTAGAATTATAGGTATGAACTACCAGTTCCTGGCTGAGATTTTTGTTTCTTTACCGATACAGTGCTCAATAAAGTAGAAGAAAATAAATTCAAAGGAAGTAAGATGTAACTTCAGAAAAATAATTTAGCTTGGTTTACTTACCAAAAGATATGATAGTCTGTTGTAAAAAAGTGGCAATGGGACAGAGAAAAGTAAGGCTACTGATTTGGCAGAACCAGTAAAGTTGTAGTAGAAAAAAGGGTATTGAGACTTTTTCAAATTTTTTTAACATGACCAAAAATAAAGTAGTAGCATTGAGTGTAAAGGAGAAAACGTTTTAGATGACAGGTAATGAGCTTGGTATTGTATAGAAATAGTAGTACACAACAAAAGAGAATTGAAGAGTGGAAAGGTGGTAGAAAGGAATTGTAACATCAATATTCAATATATATTGAACACAGTATATAGGGAGGAATATATTAAATTATTAATCGTCACCATAATGGCAGGGTAAATGCCCAGCTATCTGTAATATACAAATGAGGCCATAAATGTTTTAAAAGAGTAAATTTAAATTTTTTCTCAGTGACTTCCAATTCATAAATGGTAGAACCAAATTTGTACTATAGTTAGTACAAATTTATATAGTACAAAGTTGACTTTAGTCAACTTCCCCTTAAGACCTGAGCTATTAAGTGCTCTTCTATTTAGGAGAGAGGTAAAAACAGACAAAGCATTTTGTGCACTGGTTTTATTTTACCCAAAAAAAGGATAGTAGTACTATGTCCCTAATAAGCTGTGCAAAACAAATCATCTTGTCACTGTCAAAAGCTATGTACATATGACCATATAAGATGTTAAGTGAAATGAACCCCAAGATAGGGACACAAGTGGTTTGTTATTACTTGTTATTGTTTTTAATGTATTTATAATGAATAAGGTTTTTTTTTATTTCTTTGGTATGTTCCTCCCCCACAGTATAATCCTTGTTTTCACTGTATTTGATGTCAGTGTCCTGCATCTTGTATATACATTTTTCTAATTTGGGGAGGGGAAGGGAAATAACAAAATGCTTAAATAGGGATACAGGTTGACCTATTGTAACAATGAGATGTACAAGTCACTATGTTGAAAACAAACTTTACTACTTCGGTGGGGAGGCAGGAGGAGTTGGGGAGGTGGGGAGGGAATGTAGGGGGAAAACAACGGAAGAGGTAACAATGCTGGATAGGAAATGTTCTCATTACCTTACTCATGTAAATGTAACCCCTCTGTACACTTTTTACAATAAAAAACATATTTTAAAAGAAGATCTTGGAGACCACATGTGATCTAAGGGTACCTAAAGCAATGACTGAGCTGAAGAGTCCTTTATACAAATTTGTGTGGCTTTTGAATCTGTGTTGTTCTCCATTCTCTACAAAAAGTTGAGACAGCTTAAAATTTTAAATTGCTGAGCACTGGACTCTGAAATCTGAGGATTATGGTTCAAAACCAGCCCAGACAGGATAGCCTGTGAGAATCATCTCCAATTAACCACAAGAAAACTAGAAGTAATGTTATGGCTGCAAGTGGTAGGGCAATAGCCTTGAGTGAAATAGCTCCAAGGACAGCACCCATGCCCTGAGTTCAAGCTCCAGGATCGGCAAAGAAAACAAAATCATCTTTGATTGTGTGTTTTTCAGGAGAACTTTAATCTACAAGCAATTAACAAAGCTTATGTAATACATACTATCAATTGATGGAAAAATAAGGTGATTCAAATCCAAGGATGAGCGTTAAAGTCATAAAAAAATCGATTTACTTGATAAGCATTTGTTTTAGTTTTTAAAGTAATACTAAAACATTTCACAGTACTCAGTTATATTCTTACCCATATTAATATGTATATATAACAAACACACAATATGCACACAATTATAAAAGTCAATGTGGATTATTTCTTCAAAAACGTATGGACCTCAGATTGCAACTTAATTAGATTTCTTTCATTTCATTAAATAAATTTATATTATTTAATTAAAATTAAAGCCATATTTATTTTTTACTCAGGGGGCCTTCATGTGTAGTAGAACTGACTGAACAATTTGATTAAATTTTAGTAAAAAGGATAGAGCATTTTTATTAAAACTCTGAAGGATAATGACTGAATAATAGTTAAGGGAAATTTTGGAAGATAAAATAATACAAAAAAACTCTCAAGTACCTATTGTTACTCTAAAATATAACCATAATAGCTAAATCATTACAGCTCATAGTCACTTGTCATCAGGTATTGGACATATACTCACTTAAAACCCAAAGCATTAAAAGTTAACTGAGCAACCTCCATTGAGGAACAGTTTTCAGTTTTATTCCTTTCCAGGAAGAAATCTCAATCAAGTAGTCCCAGAGAACAGCTTCAGTTAGTGGGAAAGTCAGAGTCTCTTCTTTCTATATCTAGTCCTCATATTAGATTGAGAAAACTGGCAGTATTCAATCTGAGATGCTAACCAAGTAATCAAAGGACTGGAAGAATGAGTGGATTTATGTTTACTGGATACCTTCAATGAGAAGTATACATTTTGCATGAATATACACACATACATTCATGGAAATTTCTAAGCTATAGTAAGAATCTAATATTCTGGACAAACTTGAAACATTATTCTCTCAGGAAAACATTAGTAAAAGTCTTCTAGGAACAATGATATAAATTCAAAATTAAATATGACAGAGAATTAAGGTAAAATTGTTAAGTGCTAAAGATGAGCTAGGTGCTATAGCACAATTTCAAATGTGTATCTAATTAAACATCATACAATTTTGTTAGTCCCAGCTCATAAATAAGCAATCTGAAGTTTAATATCTTTAAAGATATTTTCCCTACTTCACACAATTAGTAAGTTATTGTGCCTTAATTCTGCTTCTGATTGGCTCTGGGAACAATGCTACTACTGTGACATCACCCTAACTCCTGAGCTCAGAGAGATCACCTCTCTTCTGAGACTCAGGCTTTGTTAATAAGGGCTATACAATGGCAAATTCATTTTTGTTGAGTTATTACATTCTCTGTCTTTTACAGTCAAACTAAGAAACTTTGTTTTTGAGCTACTTCAAATGATAAACATTTTTATGAATCAGAAACCTATGAAATATGCAAAGTATTAAATAGTAACTTCTAAAAGTATAAATTAATTTCTATGATGAAAATATTTACCAGGAGCTTTCCCATGGTTAACAATATGAACCTCTTTACAATATACTGTACTGTCAGCAACTAATGTGCCGAAATCAACTACTGGTTCAATTTCAAGCTGACAACAGGGTATCAACCTAAGGGAGGAGAAAAGAGAGGCATATCATTAAAAATTTGGAATTTCCTTTGGGAATATCCATTCAAGTAGAAAATATTTCAAAATTAATGCTGCAGTTAGTAGATACAAACAAAATATATAATAAAACATATTTTTCTGAGGAAAAGGAAGATTGTGCATGTACATATGTAAACAGAAGCCACTCAAATTAAAAGCAAATAATTCGACAAGAATCTAAAGCATACTTTTGGTGTATAAAAAGAAACTACTAAATTCTCAACCATCTAGGTCAAATTAATAGTTTGTATCAAATTAATCTCCAAAACATTCAATCTTTTTTACATTCATATTTACACTTTCAAATCTCAAGTAGAATAATTTTAAAAGAAAAAAATTCAACTTGGTACTGGTGGCTCATGCCTATAATCTTAGCTACTCAGGAGGTTGAGATCCAGAGGATTATGTTTCCAGGCAAGCCTGAGGATGAAAGCCTATGAGACCCCATCTACAAAACAATCAGCAAAAAGCTATGGTTTAGGTTCAAGTGGAAGAGTGCCAAACAAGCAAGCATGATGCCCTGAACCCAAACTCTTGTACCAGAAAAAAGAAAAAAAGTCTGTTATATTTAAATTCAATGAAGTAAATTTATAATACTTTAAAATTAAGTTAAATGTATATGTAAGCCTAAAAATCCAATAATTATCATTTGTTTGCAAAAAAATACAGAAGAGGCTTGCAATTATTACAAATACCATAATTTTTAAAATGTTTTTCATTTAACTTCATTAGGAAATTCTAGATAAAAATCAGAGAAAATATAGAATATTCTTTTGACCCTTATTTATACTTGAAGAGTCTTCAAAATATCAGCATGAAATACAAAGATACATACCCAATGAGAGGAACCGCTATTACTTTGTTTCCCACTGTGATTAATAACTGGTCAGAAATCTCTTCATTTTTAATTGGATGGTATTCTATCATCACCGTAAAATGTAGGCCTGAAGCAAGCTCCTTTTCCAAGTTAGTTAGTATCAGTTTGAACTTCAGACGGGAAAAAAAGAATCAAATTATACATTTTAACTCTTTATAAGGAAGTAATGTGAGCAACTGTATTTATGACTGTAATTTTTGTCAAAACATAGGCCTTATTCCTATATGAAAAGCAAAAAAACAAAAACACAAACCTTTTTTAAATTTGAATTTTATTTTCTTAATTACTTAAAAAAACTAATTGGAATTATTCTGTTCTCACAGTATTATAGGACAATTACAGAATCATAAGATTAAAATGCACAGATGAAAAGTAGAGAGTGACAAACTAAAGTTCAAACCCAGGATGAAGAAATAGAATGATTCTAGGTCCTCTCCCACCCTGTCTTCCTGAACAAGCGCGCGCACGTGCGCGCTCACACAACTCAAGTCCCTCAACTTTGGGAATTCCAGGCCTTTCCCCATCTCCTCAGGAGCCCAAGTTTTACCATCTTTGGCAAAAAAAAAAAAGAGGTGCTCTGTTGAGGAGGCCTTCCGGAGGCTCTCTATCCAGTAAACCTTAGTATCTCACCTGTGGCTTGCTAGGCTCCTGAAACCGGATTTTCTGGTTCCAGCGGCCAAGATTGTGTAGTGTAACTGGTGAGCGGTAAATTCTTCCAGCTACTGCATCGTGGAATTTCAGTTCCATGGGGGAAACCCGCACCTGAACTTCCTTCTTCAATCCATCTAGATCTCTGGGGACTAGGGAGTACCTTTCCATGTCCATGTCTGATTTTGGACTAACCAGAAATAGTTGCCAACTTCACCAACTCGCCACTTACGTCAACAACTGTCTCCAGGAGACTATTAGGACGCCAGCATACTAGCCCCGCCTCTACTGACGCTTCAAAAGTCGCACATGGAGACAGCTGGGACAGAAAGTGCTGGTCTGACGAAATAATTCAAAAGTCTCAGGTGTCACTAAAGTAGCGAAAATCCATTATGCCAGGCCAGAACTCAGAGCAGCTCATGTGCCTTGCAGTGTTGTAAGCCTGTATTTGGAGTAGGAGACATTTTTTTCTTGTAACTCTCTTCAGAGCAACTTTAAAGATCAGTGAAATTTAAGCAAATGGTACATTAAGGCATCAAGATGTGTCAAAAACAGAATTTCAGGTGAAACAGTCTTCTCAGTCAATGTTGCTTACAATACCAAAAGACTGAATCTACAAAAAAATATATACGGAGAGATAAGGTCTATCCATGATGGTTACTAATACAATTCTTTATGTACATTTATGTACAAAGATATTGATTATACATTATTAAATTTTAAAAAGTATCTGGATTCTGGGGGCTCACATCTGTAATCCTAACTACTTACAAAGCTGCGATTTGAAGTTCATTGTTCAACGCCAGCCTGTGCTGGCATAGGAGTCCATGACACTCTTAGGTCCAAATAACAAGTAAAAAGCTGGAAGTGGAAGTATAGCTCATGTGGTAGAGTGTCAACCTTTATCAGTAAAAGCCAAGTGAAAGTGAAAGTTTCAGCACTAAAAAAACAAAACAAATGATAATAAGTAAAAATAGTGGCCACATAGTACGTACATGATGATGCTGGGTTAGTTGTTGCTGTTGTATGTTTGTTTGTTTGTTTGTTCATGATTCAACTGAGTACAAGTCACAGTCCCTGCATAGCACCTTAATCAATCCCTAAAAGAATTGCAAAACTAAAGAAGTCTCAAACTTTCCTTGGACTTTTCTCAAGATGATGACTGGCTCAAGTATGGACTTATATGTACAACTAAAAGATACAGCAGTAAAAGTCAGCTGGAAAATATTTTTTCTGTTCTCTTAATATTCTCATCAACTAGGGAAGATTGAGGAAGACCGTCACTTTGATCTCCAAGTTCACTAAACCTAGAGTTCAGTCCCTTTCCCTCAGTCTCATATAGAACCTTCTTTATTTTTAGGTACTCTTATCAACCAAAAATGCCAATTTTAAGTGAAATGTATATTTACTCTTAAATTCTCCTAATTTCTATTGTCAAGAAATCACCATGTAAACAGTCTTTTTTAAGGCTTAGCTGTTTTCAGTTAAATTTTTCAACCATTTATGATAATATAGTAACTTTAAACTTGTGCAAATAACACATAATGACAAAACATTTTTCATAAGAGTAATTCAAAACAAATAGAAAACAGAGTGAGTTGGATAAGGTCTTCCAGTGATCCCATCAATTAGAGCAGGTTCTCACACATGTCCACAGCTAAGGAAGCCAGGTGACTAGTTTTAGTATAAGAGCAAAAGGAACATTTGAAAACTCTGGTAGGAAAAGCTGCCCATATCATTCTTCCTTAATTCCAAGCAGCATGACAGAAATGCTTTCTACTTGGAAGAAAGAGATACATACTTAAAATTGAGACCCAATACGAGGCCTATCATAGTGAATCTCAATATTAGGTAGAGACCTACAACTACTGCCCCAAGTCAGTTTCTGTGGCTAGAATCTAATCCCCTGGAATCACATTATGCAGAAAGCTAAACTTTTCACTTTAGGTAGCAGAGAAGTTAGCAAGACTCCAAATGCTGGACAATAGAGCATGAAAGCTACTGCTAGGCTTTTCCCAGAGAGATCAGTGTTGGCCTCTGAAGTAAAAATCAGCATTAGGCAAAAATCGAAAGCTAAAACCCCAGCTTTAGGAGGAGATAAAATCCGTGATAGATTAGATAGATAGATAGGTAGATAGATAGATAGATACATAGATACATAGATACATAGATACTTAGTAAATAGGTAGTAAAAACAAGGAAGTATCACTTCAGGAAGACTGAATCAATCAATGGAATGTTTCATTTATTTGAATGGGTTGATAAGTAATTTAGACAACTTGAGCATTCTGAAATTAGAAATGGAGTTATGGGAACAGATTAGTAGTAAGTACATAGAAGCAAAGAATAAAATGACTTGGAAAATGGAAAGCTATACATAATAATACATAAGAGCAATAAGCTCTAATGTGGCTTATTATTAAAAATAATTTCCAGAGACAGATTCTTACCAAATCAGAATATAAATCCACATTAAATTAAGTCATAATTATATTGTTAAGTAGTGAGATAGGGAGTATGTCTATAGTGAGCTAGTTGATGAGAAAATAGTGAATTGTCATCTTCTGAAGTTAAAAAAAAGTGACCACATCAAGTACAGATAAAGATGTAGAGCAGCAAGAACATTCCCAAATTTGTAATGAGAATGTAAAATTTTGCAACCACTCTGGAAAACAGCTTCAAAATTTTATTAGACTAAACATGCCATTACTATACAGCCCACCAATTGCAGTTATAGAGATTCATCCTAAAGTAATACAGATTTATTTGCATATAACTTTGGCTCTTACTAATTAAGTTTTATTTCATTACATTTTTATTAACTTTAAGTAGTTGTATGAAGGTGTTACAATTCAGCATTTCAGTTTATGAGTAGACTGCATCTTAATCTATATCAACCCTTTCATAATTAAGTTTTCATTGTAATAGCCAAAAAGTGGAAACAGCCTGGTACAATTCAACAGCAACTTGTGAAGTATCCATGAATAAAATATTAGTAAGGAGAATGAATTATTTACATGCAAAAACCCAGAGTGAATTTGTAGAGAACTGTAGTGAATAAAAAATACATTTGTAAATGATAACAAAATGCATGATTTTTATATAGCATGTTGAAAATGACAACATTTTGAAAATGAAGGAAATATGAATGGTTGGGTATTGGGAGTGGCAAAAGATATCTGAATATCGTTTATAAAAGGTAAAGCTAAGGAATTCTTTTATTGGTGTACTATGATTTTGCTAGTGGAGATGTGAATTTATAAAGATGATAAATTTACACAGAATTAAAACACACACATATAACACACATAACGAGAACTCATAAAACAGACAATATGAGTAACATGCGACATATATCCATGTCAAGACTTGGAATTTTCTTTTGGTGGGGATGCTAATGATATTTACTTCATGTATAGAAGTGTAGTTCAGCCAAACATTGTGAAGAATACATAGAATCCTGCAGAGACAGTCTACACTGTAACAATTTAAAAGAGATTTGCCACCAGAACCTGTTTTACCACTTCTGGCTTTTTTTGATGGTTAACTGGAGATAAAAATTTCACAAACTGCCCAGACTGGCTTTGAACTGTGATCCTCAGATCTCAGCCTCCTGAGTAACTAGAATTACAGATATAAGCCACCAGCACCCAGTATCCTTTTAGCATTTTACCTTTGTTTTTCAGATACTTTCTCACTAAATTCGGGGTAGTAAGTGAATAAAAAAACCCATGAGCTGTATGAACATCAAGTTGGAGAGTGGGAGAACAAATTCAATATTCAGTATATACAGGATTTATGGTATATACAGGATTTACGGTATTGTCATTATTTACAGAAGAAGCCAGCAACTCGGCCATTAAGTCTGTGTTGTGTTCTGATTGACAACTGACTTGTGAGTCTATGTGGCTATTATTCCTCCCTTTATCTTTGACATACATCCTTATACACAAAGGAAACTGAGCACATAGCTTGCAAACTGAAAGAGCCTAACATTTGTAGCTATCTGTTACAAATAGAGTAAATTAATCTTTGACAACACCAATGTTCATGAGTTTGGTGCTCATTTTGTATTCTATGGAATACAAAAGCCCTACTCAATTTTTAAGTCATATTATGAGCTACCTTCCCTCCTTTTATACAACAGACCATCATTTTATTTCAGCTTCTAAATATGATTTATTATATTACATTGCAATTATTTGCTTTTACTATTTAACTATCTACTGTTGCTGTTTTATTCACTTTTCTATAATAAATAATTTAATGATGATACATACCGAGAGCCTGTGTTCACAGCTATAATCCTAGCTACTCAAAAGGCTGAGACTGGGAAGATCACAGGGTCAGCCTGGGAAGAAATATGCCATTTCATCTTTACATGTAACCAACAAAATAGGAGACTGGAGGTGTGGCTCAAATGGAAGACTGGCAACTATGAGCAAACAAGCAGAGCCAAATTTACAATGAGTTCAATCCCTGATACTGGGCAAGTAAATAAATACCTTATGAATAGTCTGTAAATACTTATTGAATGAAGCAATGAATTATTATTTAATATTAATAATAATATTTAAGGAAGCATCCAATATAATTTTTGCATGCTTGTCACTAGGTTGTATCAACTGTTTATGTTTAAAAGATTTTCTTATAAAGTAGATGCCTGGTTTTCTTACCTTTTAGGTTCTTTTAAAAAATTTTTGACAGTGTTCTTTAAATTGACTTTCATTACTGCAATTTCACAGTAAGACAATTAATATGCACCAAATTAAATAATGTACTGATTGATTTTCTTTGAAATATGGAAATCTTGCTAAAATTGTGAACCAATATTAATAAAAAATAAAGGAAATATTTTAATTTACCTTTTTCATATAAACATTTGGATTGCTTTATTTTACCTCCACATTTATTCATTAAACATTTGAGCTCTTTAGCTCAAGGCCAGCATCTTACCACTTGAGCCACAGCTCCACTTCTGGATTTTTTCTGCTCATGTGGTGCTGAGGAATCCAACCCAGGGCCTCATGTATGCAAGGCAAGCACTCTACCACTGAGCCAACTTCCCAGCCCTATTCATTAAACATTTTAAATACCCACTAGTTAGATAAAATGAAGAAGAATTGTTTGGAAGGCAATTTCTGAGTTTGATCATTTCAGTTTTGAAGTAACTCTAC